TATATATTAAAATCCAAAATAATGATTTTAATGATAATTTTGGTAATTTATAAATATTATTTAAATTCACTATAAAAGGGATTAAAGTTTTTAATTTCAAATCATTTGAAAATGAGCATTTCATAGGTCCATTTACAAAATTCACAAGTATTATTGGACCTAATGGAGAAGGTATATAAAATAATTTAAGAAAATAGGAAAATCAAATGTTTTAGATGCAATATAATTTGTTTTGGGAATTTCAATTAGATCAATGAGATTTCATAGAGCAGAAGAATTAATATATAGTTAATCTATGTATTATAAAAATTATTAAGAGGAAGATCGATCAGCCTATGTAGAAATAATTTTTGATGCTATTAATTAAATCGAAACTTAAATTTCACTTAAAAGGACTGTAAATAAATAATAGCAAACTCAAGTTTTTATTGGTGATTAATAAATAACTGAGAAAGAGTTGAGCTCATTTCTCCTATTGTCTAAAATAATATTGCCTGCTAAGAACTTTATAATGCTATAAGGCAATACAGATATAACTTTGGCAACTTCAGGTATGATTGTTTTCAATGGGTCATAATAAAGACTATCAGATATGAGGAATTTTCGATCCAATAATTAAAGGATTTAATAAAGGGGACCAAAAGAATCCAAAGAATATTTAATTAAGTCTATTGAGGATTTGTAAAATAAAATTAAAACTCTCAAAAATGTTAGTGTTTAAGATGATTTGAAGTATTACTCAGCATTAAAAATGAAATTAGAAGAATAATAGGCTTAATTATCAAATAAATAGATATCATTGTAAAAATCAATATAAATATATAATGAAAAGTCAAAGTAAGTAGATAAATTATTAGATAAACTTTATATTGAAATAAACAAAAGAAAAATATAACTTAAGGAATATGATGAGTAAAATGATAAATTTTTAAGTTAAATTTAAAACTAATAAAAATTGGCTTGTTAGGATTTTGCAAAAAGAAATGGGATTAGTTTATATGAATTAAATAAATTAGATATTTAATAAAATTTGTGTAAGCAATTTGAAATAAAGTAATAGTAATTAAATAAATTATAAGTTTAGAAATAAAGTATGGAACAATACTTAGAAGAACTAAAAAAGAAACAGAAAGTTTTTCAAAATAATATAAAAAGCAAAATGGAAGCAATAAATAATTATGAGCAGAAAAAATTGATTTATAATAAAATCATGATAAGAAGTATAAGGATTTGGTTTAGTATTCACATAAACAATTAGAATTAAATCAAAGAAAAAAAATTTAATAAAAGAAATTATTAAATTTGACTGACTTTAGGGAATCAATAGGTAAAGAAAGGAGTAGATAAAAAATAATAAATAAATTTAATTAATCGTAAGATTGAGTAGTTAAAATTTTAAAGAGGAAGATTGATTGAATTATGTGAAATTGAATCTATACCTGTAAGGTTCAAAAGATCTTAAGGAACTTTTAAACATTTTTTAAATTTTGATGATGATTAATAAATGGATATGGAAGCTATAGATTATACGGTTATAAAAAATGATTTGAAATAATAAATTGGAATAAATTGATTGATGAAATAAATGTAGAATTAGAAATAAAGGAATAAGAAATTACTAAATATTTATTTGAGAATTTATAAGTTGGTTTAATCGGTAAAACAGATGAAAATTTGTTTAATTAGAAACAAATATTGAGTAATTAGGAAGATCAATTAAAGAATTATAGAATAGAGAAGCTGAATTGAGCGATTAATTAGTATAGACATAATAATTAAGAAAGAAAAGATTTGATAAATTATTTTGATAGAGTAGAAAAGGAGATAAAAATCTTGTATTAAAAATTAACAGAGAATTAAAATGGATTTGATGGAACAGTTCTTTTATATATGGAAAATAAAGAAGAACCATTTGAAGGAGGATTGATATACACTCCTAATCCACCAAATAAAAAATATATATTTGATAATTCTGAACAACTTTCTGGAGGAGAAAAGGCTATAGCTTCTATTGCTCTTTTGTTAGCATTAAATGCTGCTATTGATGCTCCATTTATTCTACTTGATGAAGTTGATGCTCGTTTAGATTAAGATAATGCTGATAAGTAATACATTTATTTAAAATATTAATAGATTATAAAAAATAGTAAAATTATTGTCAAATTAAATATAGTTTATATTGATAAGTCATAATCCTGATGTATTTGCTCATTCAGATTCTCTTGTTGAAGTTACAATATAACATTCCAAAACTACAAGTGAAGCTTTTTCATTATTACTATGATATTAGAAAGTTTTGAATATTATTTATATTTATATATTTGTTGAAGAAATCAAAAGAGTTTTAATTAAAATAATTATGAAACAATTAGTAAAGATTCATAATAATAAAGTTAAAATAATTTTATGATATTCAATATATATATTTATATTTGCAATAATAAAATGGATAGACAGGGTATAGATACAATTTGTAAAACCGATTCTTCAAGATTAATCACATTACGAAATAATACAGAAACCTTAAGCAAGATATTCATCTTAATATTAGTCTTCAACAATTAAGGATTTGATGGTCGACCAGGATTAGGGTTATAATCAATTGAACAATAAATTCCTGAGAGTGGTGTTGATGATGATAATGAATTATATGCTTCTGAAAATTCATCTATTTCAAATTAAAGTAGACATCGAAGTAGAAAGGAATCTAAAGTAGAATCTCTAAATAAAATTATAAAAGAAACACAAAAAATTTAATCTGATGACCTACATTAACCTATTGGAGGTTGGGATAATAAAATATGGTAAAAAGGAGCTTTAAGAATTATGACTTACGTTATTAGATTTGTAATGGCATTATTAATCAACTCTGAGAAGTTCAAATTTACTTTTATGAAAAAAAGACAATTTTATGCTATAAATGATTAATCAGCTATATTTGACTATTATGAAGAAAGGTTTTTAATAAGAGGCCAAAAGAAACTTAGCTATTCAGTAATTATATAAAATTTATAAAGTAAATTCTTAAATTAAGAATTCAAAATAATTGCATATATTAATCCTGCCATATATTTTTATAATATGTAGCCTACAAATTCGTATTTATTATAACTCCAACAAGTACTCCTAAATTAATTTGGGATGTATTTCTATTGATAATTTTATCAATTCAAATGGTATTTGTACCATTAAAAATTTGCTTTTAAATTGAAATTACTTAAGAAGTATTACAATTTTTTTTATTAACTTTACCACTTTATGTATTTCTGATAGAAATAATATTGAATTTTTTAACAGGATTTTATGAACATGGAGTATTAGTTATAGATTAGAAACAAATTGCTTTACATTATTTAAAATCTACATTTTGTTATGATTTTTTGAGTGTAATGCCATAATTTATAAGTGCAATAAGTGATGAATCCTAAATATTTGAAATTCTATTATTGATACGTTTGAAAAGATTAATATTGTTAGCAGATACATTAGAAGAAATGTTGAATTTAAGATAGCACTATTAAACATTATTAGATGTTGTTCGTTTGTTGATTTAATTTTTATTTTTATCTCATTTGTTTGGATGTGTGTGGCATTATATAGGAGTATTGGAAGAAGAATTTGGGTATTTTTGTTTTATATATATTGATTTAAGATACGATTAGAATTGGATCAAGCAAAAAAATATTGATGGAGAATCCTGGTATTTTCGATATGTATTTTCAATATATTGGAGTTCCATTACTACATTAACTATTGGATATGGTGATGTTATACCAGTTAGTTCTGTAGAAAGAATGTTTGTTGTAATTGTAGCTGTTGTAAGTAGTGTTGTGTTCGCATATACAATTTCAAGTATTGGAAATATTTTTAGTTAATTAAATGAAAATAAAAAGAATTAAAGACATAAAATGTTTTTAATCAAAAAATTTATTGATGAAAGAAATGTTAATAAAGTTTTAGCAAATAAAGTCAAAAAGTTTTTTGAGTATTTTATATAAATTGATCATACTTCAGATAATGAATGTGTTAAAATGATTGAAAAATTAGATCCCTCATTGAAAACAGAATTAAAGATTGATATTTACAGAAAATTTATTTCTAATTCTAAATTAATATCAACAACTTTCTCTGATTTATTATTAAATGAAATATGCTAATTAGTGAAAGAAAAATAATATATGCCAGATGAATTTATTGTTATTTCAGATTAGGAAATAAATGAATTGTATTTTGTTTTAGAAGGAGAAATTTCATTAATTGTAGAATTAAATAAATGTATAAAGATTATTCATATTTCTAGAAAAGAACAAAGTCTCATAATTATCTTTAATTAAGAAAAATGAAGTTTTAGGAGAAAAATATTTTCTTACTAATGCGAAATTACCTTTTTCAGCCAAAGCTTAGAGTTTCGTTAGAGTGGCTGTTTTAGATAAAAAATAGTTTCATCTCTTACTCTAAAAATATCCAGAAGAATTAGAAAAATATAATTAAGCATTAAATAAAGTTCAATTGTAAGAAAGAATAAAACTATCTGGTTGTGAATTATGCTATTAAAATCATAAGGTCTTAGAATGTCCTTTTGTATTTTATTAGCCAAATGTTCGATATATTGTTAAAAGATAATATGCATTAGAATAAAAAAGAAAATTGTTTGTTAGAAGACAGGCTAAATCACATGTAATAATTGATTTTTGTTAAATAGGTAGAATTCTAAAAGTGATCGACTTGGCATCTAATATCGTTTAGTAACGTATGCTTTAGAGAATAATTTAATTCAAGAGGAATCTATAAATGATTCGATTATTAAGAAAATGGATTTATAATGTTTAGAACATCAGAAAAATCTATTTAGATAATGTACAGATTCTTCGATAAATACTTTGATTAAAAATAGTATTAATCCTAACTTATAGAGTGGAGGTAAGGAAAGTCCACATGAGAGTTAAGATTAAATACTGAGATAAAATTCGAATAATACTCATAATCCTAGACCTAGTTTTACAGGTATTGGAAATACTTAATAAATGTCAACATTGAAATTAATTAAATTAAATAGTAAAAAATTAGATAAGTAGGAAATATTTGAAAAAATTGAATTAAAAGTACCTGAAAAAATAGTTTTGTAAGAAATTGGCGAGCATTCTTCAGACTCTGATTAATAATCACCTGATAAAAATAAATTAACAAGATAAAACAGTTTTACATTTTGTGCTTCGTCAGATTTCAAAACATAATTAAAAGTTGAGTATTATTCAAAATTAATCATAAATGAACTAGATGGATTAGATAAATACTAAGAATATTAATTCTATTATCCTTAATATAATGTTGAAAAAGTTATTGAGATTGTTAACGAGAAATATAAACAAAAAAGACTCAAAGAATCTAAAAGATTGATTAAAAGATAAAGTAGATATTTAACATCTTATCCAACTATTTCAATCAGAAGGAAAAGAAGTGGGATTATGGGAGAGGAAATTATTCATGAGAATTGATAATAAATATATTAATACTTATCTCACTCATTCAACTTATCAAAATTAATATTATCAAAGGCATTTACACTTTGTTTGGTTAATAAATAGGTCAAAGTTTCATCAAATCTTACTAGATCTATTTATATTTAATAAAATTTTAATACCAAAGTATTACATAAATTATCTAAATTAATCCACATCTTAAAATGCCAAAAGTTAGGCTAAATATTCTAATTCTATATTTGAAATATATCTAAAAATAAATTTATAATTGATACGTTTTTACAATCTATTTTAATGCTTTTACTCTAATTCTAACTAAAAAATGATTAATAATACTTCCCATAGTTTCACCAGCTTCTTTATAATCTTTAAATAATTTAACATAATTTCCACATTTATATGATTCTCTTATACTAAAATATTAAATTAATTAATTACCCAAGAGCAAACTTAATTCTCTAATCATCCGAATTTTAATGTAATATTTTGACTAATTAATCTTATTTATTTAACATTGTTAGATAAACAATTCTATAACTATCAAATTCAACTTTATTTCCTATAAAATTAACATCTTTTCCTTCACTTATACTAATCATCTCATACAAATCACATAACATTGTCCAACAACTTTCATATCTAGGGAAATCTCCACATTCCAAACATATTCTAGCATTTTCTTCATAAACTTAAACTGTAAATCTATTTTCAATATGTTGAACCAATAAATCTTATCTTATAGATCTAAACTATTCAATTGTGAAATTATAATCAGCTTAACAATTTTTCCACTTTTCTAAAATATGATTTAATGCTTTTTTTAAAATATGTTCAGGTCTTATGGTATTTGGATCAGGCAAACCAGTTAGTCTATAATATGGTTTTTCTAAGTCTTCACAAGTTCCCTTAAAAATAAATTTAATTCCATTATACTGTAATTTTCATATTAGTTTAAATAAATTGGTCTTCTTCTTCTATTTTTTTTTTAATCTATTTTTATTGTTATTTGATCTATATTGTAGCATTGGGCTGTAATTTTCCAATTTATAACATAGCCAAATCTATACTATACTCACTTTTCTTATTTTTCATATGATTTTGATTAATAGCATCAACTTATTACTATTTCAGTTAATCGTTTAAAGACATCAAATTTTAAATACTAGTAGATGCTGTAATTTCTATTATTAAGAACCATTACTTTACGCTGGTCCAATAGGTTGGGCTTAACTTGGTGCCCCAAATTTACTTGTTTAGCCTAATGAATTCAATGCCATAGCTGTGCTTTGTTTTATTTACAGAGATTAAGAGAATAAAGACTAAGTTCGTATTTAATTCTCTCTAGGAAGTGTTGGCAAAGGAAATTTTGACCAATCTCTTACACTGTATTCATTTTTACGTTTGGCTTCTGCAATTGTAGCCTTTAAATATTGTTCCATTAGATTTCTCTCATCATCAGATTGACATTTATTGAATGCTCTCTCTACATACTGTTTTACAGTAATAGAAGATTATTCATTAAATACTTCTCTCGAATTACAAAATCTCGCACCTGTAAAATAATTAAAATAATCATTACTAACTAAATTAGGCATTTCAACGTTTAATTTTCGATACAAATATGAGTAGATCTTAATTTCATTCTCCCATCTTGAAGGTTAGTCTAACTCTGAAACATCAACTGGAGGTAAAAATTGATTTTACTCCTTCTCGATTATATTATTCATCGCATTTTTTTATTATTAATCTTGAGTTTATTAAATAAGTGATTGCTGCTAGGGCTATTATTGATTTGCTTGTTAGAGTGGTTAGGATACTTTTTATTGAGAATTCAAAACAGAATTAGATTATTAAATAAACTATTACTAAGGTCTGTAAATGTTGTTTTGGTTTTACATCAAATTAGTTTGTTCTAGATTTAAATAATCAAATACATTGTTGCTGTACGGTTTAATAATTGTATGGATAATATTGATTATATTAATATTGATTTGGCATCATTTGTTAATACCCATATGTCATATATTAGTTATATCCATAGTAATTTTAGTACATTGGTTACTAAGTTTATTAGTATGGGTTTAAAGAGATCTTCTCTGCTCTCATAGCATCTTCTATTGTTGATCTTTTATTATTATTCATTTTAATTTTAATGATTAATGTGTTTTAAATAATATAATTTATCTATTGAGAGATGATTTATGTTCAAAGTCATATAATATTTTACAAAACAACTTGTTTTTACTATTAATTATACTAACAATATAAAAATAAGAATATCATTAACTTTAGATTTATTTACTTATAACAGAGTACATTGATCCAATAAATCCAATAAATAGAAAAAGAAGACCAAACTCGTAAATGTTTTAATAAACATCTTTAGTGAAATTTTCATTTTTTTTTTGTGAATTTCTTTTTAAACTATTCTCTCTTGCTAACACAACCAATTCTTTTAAAGATGATGAAGTTCTACAACCTTCTATTTCAGAATTGTGAATTCTTTCTGTGTAATTCTTGATTTTTATTTCTTAAACTACTTATTTAAGACCCTTTTTTTATATACTTGGCATACTAAATTAAGTAAAAACTAATTACGATTAACAATGATGACTACGTCGTATTTCATTCAATTAATTTTGTTGGTAATCAAAGTCTGTAGTCTGATTAAATCTCCATTTTATATTTGTGTAGATTCGAAGAATGTTAAATGGAGTTTTAAGTGATTATTTCTCTAAAATTAGGGCTAATTTAAGAAGCTTGTATTTTGAATAACTTTTGTCAGTAGAATCATTAAATTTATACATCAAATAAATATTAATATTAAATATATATGAATATTTAAGAATAGAAATTTACATAAAAAATTGTATCCTTCTCAAATGCTATTATGTATAAAATTAATTTAAATAGAAATTTAAATAAAATAATGAATAAAATTAGATTTATAGGTAATGTTTCTATAATTAAACTATTCTTTTTATACTTATAACATCATCATAAATCTGTTAATCTGGACAATTTTTAAACTCTATTGAGTAAATAATCTCCTTATTTAATTAAATTATTATAGAGTTAATTTCTATCATCTGCTCTAGAAGATTCAATAATTCCAGCAACTTTATCTATTTTACAATTAATTCTTCTTGATGAAATTAATTCACTCAATTCTCTTAAAAAATTTAAAAAAAATTAGATACCTATCAATGAATTATACACTAACTCCAAATGCTTTAGCCATATTATTTAATGTCACTGTTTTATAGCTTTCTAAGAATTGAGAGTAAAAAACTACTCTAAATTCACGAATTAAGTATTTACGATGTATACTTAAGTATTGATCATGAGAAAGATTTTCATTAACAATTGCTAATATTAAAAGATATTTATACCAAATTTTTAGAAGAGTGTTTTATAATCACACATCAAAAATGATTCTAAGAAACTCTTTAACACTTAATTCTCTCTTAAAACTCCAACAACTTCTGGATTTTAATGTACTTTCTTTTTTAGAGTTTATCTATCCAAACATATTATGCTAGTTAAAACTGTATAGCTGACAACTTCATTATAGGATATGATTTCTGATGAATTAAAAGTGGCTACAGAGTCTAAGAATAATTTGCATGCTTTTGTGATATCTCTTATCATTAAACAATAAATTCCTTCATAAACTTTTAATCTATTTTTTCTTTCCCAATCACCTCCTTAATCTAATAATGTTTATTATTAATTCAAATGCTCCTTAAATTTTTCAAGATTCCTTTGCTTTAAATATATTTATAAAATTAAGAAATGGACATCCATCTTTTTACCAATACCAACAGATTTTGGTAATGTGTCAATATATGTTTTGATTGCCTCAAATAATATTACAAGGATACATCTTCAAATTTATTATACTTTTATTGCAATGAAGCTTTTTCTAGCATTGCATCTCTAACTTCTACATCTCCTAGATTCTCTTAACAATCTTTTATTTTATTCTCTGCTGCTTCTAACTATTCTTCAAAAGTTTTCTCTTATTCCATTTTAATTTTAAATTTAATTAATACTAATCTCAATATTTATTTTTTGAATAACTCTCTTCGTTTGAATATTTTTAGCATATTCTACAATTTAAAAATGAATAAATATCTAAATGACTATAAATATGAACCATTTTAATTTATTTGTTAATTAGCTCAAACATTTGTAATATATTTCAATATAGTTACTAATAATAAATATATATTCTTAGAAAACTTATAACTAAATTTAAAATTCATATATATTTGTAATTTCTTTTATAGATCTATTTGCAATTTAAAATATTATTAAAATTTTAAAATTATATTTACTTGGACAACTAAAAAATGATAAAAATGTCTAAAAAGTCAATAATTTTGTAACGACATAGCATTGATATGCTTTAAATTATAATTAAATTGATATAAATACAATTAATGAATAAAATAAATTTATAAAAGAAACAAAAATAAAAACAAAAGTTTATTCCTTTAGGATTTGTAATAAAATACGATCCTCCAGTTATTGGTATGATATTAATATTACTTAATACAAGGATTATTATATAAGAGAAGTGTGTAGGAGAATAAAAAAAAAGTTTATAACATTCATTTATAAAATCTAATAAATTTAGATGATGAGGTTGAAATAACAAAGTAGTTGTTTGTAGAACATCCTGAATTTTTGGATCCTGATATCATTGAACCTGAATAAGTTTTGGGATTAGTGTAGAGATTGATTGAGTTTAGATAAATAATGGAATAGGATGATGATAATGAATATTAAGATGAGGAAACTGATAGTCATATAATAGATGAAATGTTTGATTGATATTTTATTTTTGATATATAATTTGATCAATAATAAATTTTGATATGGACTAATATTTATGAATTAAATAATGGTTTAAACTAAGAATTTAATAATGGTATAATTCGATAACCTTTCTTAAGTTAAGATGTTATAAGCAATATTAACCCAGGAAAGGGTCTCCTAAAATAGAATAACTATATGCTTAAAAATAAATAACATCTTATTATGCATATTTGAGTTGTATAATACAATGATTATTCTATATTGGACGTTATCCACTATCTTAGATAACTTCAGTTCTCCATTTTTGAGATTTATTAACATCATCTTTATTTCCAGCAATTCTAACTTTAATATATGGATCAACAGTTTCTTCTTATCTACTTTTTTCTTCTTCCCAAACAAGATTAGAAGCACTGATAATATTTATTAGAATAGTCATTTTAATATCCTATTTTGATTTAAGAATATAAGAACTATTCAGAAACATACCATAATTTAAAAGCATAAATAAATCCTAGTTTTAATATTTAATGCTACTAATTAAGCTCCTGCTATCCAAGATAGAAATGGATCATAATTACTTGAATCAAATCTCAATCCTAAAGGATATCCTCTAACAAAATAATCATCAACATATTCTTAGAATTTACCATGACTCTTTTTTACTACAACCTATATCTTATCTTCAGATACACTTGATACTATCCATACAAGTTTTGGTCTTTTATCTAATTCTAGAGATATCATTCAAATTTATCCATGTATTTATACTGCATATAATGAAGTAATTTCTCATAATTCTCTACACAATTTTTTATGATGTTCATCAAGAGTCTAACTAAATTATTTTATATTTCCTTAAATTTATCATCATCAAATTTAATTAACATATCATCATGTGATTATGAATAAAATTATGTTTAAGAATGAGATGATAATTTCTCTTATAAAAGATGATCATCTCCTTTATATTTAATTCATACTTTCCTTTACATTTCTTATAAAGTAGATATTCTATCTTATTTATAATTCCTAATTACAAATAACATTTCTCCAAGAATACTTTATAATATTTGTGCTATTCTCTTTTATTATTTTAATCCACAATGCATTTCTAATGATAAAATAGCAGGATTATTATCTTTATAAAAAGCAAAGTCTCTAACTGTTATTATAACATCTTTAAATTTTTATCATTAACTATTAATGTATGACCATGAGTAACCTTTGGTTCTCCATCATCTCCATCCTAACAATCTAATTCAACACATTTAAAACCCATTTCAATGCATCTTAATATGCAAAACAACTTGATTCACCTGTTAATTAATTTGTTTCTAAATATGTATTATGTGAAGAATTTATTAAATATTTTGTTATTGGTTAAGATTAATCTAATAATCTAGATTGAAATACTGTGTTTTAATCACTAAATTTCAGATTCTAAAAATCATAAAAGTTTTATTATTTAATAATCATTTTCTCCTTATTCTATTTTATAAAACTGTTATAAATCTTTATATGTCATTAACATAGCTTAAAGTGGATCTTCATACATTCCCTCTTATTTACTACTATATTTTTAATATAATTCTATTAGTTCATGTTTAAGTGTAACTTCCATTAATAATTTATATAAAGTTGCTTCATCTAATTGATTATTTTTTTAATTCTTCTCAAATATTTATATTAATTTCCTTTCTGGAATCTCTACTTATAATTCTCCTATTAAAAATTGAAATTCCTTAAAATTAAGTTTATTGTCCATATCTATATCCGATTTAGTAATTAGTTTAAGTGCATTACTCCAAATCTAATTATAACTATCAAGTTATTTCTCTATTCTATTTGCTTCTTTTATCAAATAATCTAATCCTTCTTTGAATATTATTAACTATTAAGGACTTTCAAAATAAAATTTAATGTAATCACCTTTGTTATTTATTATTTTTAATTAAGATCATTCTTTTTATTAAATTTCTGAGATCAATGTAAGATTACAATAAGTATTAAATGTACCTTATGGGTCTAGCTAATATACAATTGTTATTAATTATCATTTAAATCATTCGAACCTCATTTGAACTTATCAATATTATAATTTAAGTATGTTTCATCTTTTCAATTTCACCTGTAAAATTATACCATATACTAAAGAATTTATACCCTAATGATTAATTTTATTCATTTATTTGATATATATGTTAAAATATTAAAAATAAAATATTTTATTAATTTCATTTATTATCAGATAATAGTAATTATTTGAGTAGAAAATCTGCTCCATTGATAGGTGGCTCTTAAGATTCAAATTTTTCAATTACTGGAACTATATTTTAAACATCCCATTAATCTCGAAAGCTTTGACGTTTATCAATCATCAAGCACATTAATTTCACAATACTTTATTGTAATTCCCTTTCTATAGGAACTTACAATAATTGAATAATATAAGGCATTAAACCACTTTGAACTCTCTCTAAATACTTTTCATCTTCAATATTTAGATGACAAATCTTAAAAATTGTATTAATTGCTTCTGCTTTTAAAAAATCAACATCTTTAATCTCTGCAAAATAAGCATCACTTATCAGAATTACAACTTAGAAAAACAGATCTAGCTTATCTCTTAGATCCATATCTCTACTTATACATTTTGTGTATATCTTAAAACACATTGCTAAGACTTAAGCTGAATATAAAGCGAATCCTTTATGTTTTTGAATAATTCCAATTAAAGTATTCATTATATCTAACTAAAGAAAAGCTTCAATATTTTAGACAATTGTCATTAATGAAAATATTAATTTAAGAGAATATAATAGAACATTTTGATTATTGGTAGATAATTTGCTATTAATGAGTGCAATTCCATTTTCTTTCATGATTTAATATTTAAATTCTTTTGAATTTGCACACATATTGTATAAAGCAACACATGCATAAGTGCTTAACATTGGATGATCAGATTAATAAACAATCAATAATGGTGATATTAATCCTTTTTAAAGATTTACTATCTACTCTGTTATTTGCTCTTTATCTTTAGAATGATAAGTAATAATGTGTTTACATGTAGCTAATTTTGTTGTTTTACTATGAATTAATAAATGCATTAATAAATCTATATATAATTATTATTAATCCTTTTTTAATAGTTCTTCTTTAAATAAATCAGTATCAAGAAATGAAATCATAACTCTTTCATTGAATATATATTTTTGATAAGCAATTTTTGGAAATTTCTTTGAAACTTCTTCAATAATGAAATCATTACTAACTCCTGATTATTCTGATACTGAATATAAACAAAAGTCAAAAACTTTTAAAACATCATCTTTATTATTAGCATGTGCTTACATGATAGTTTTAAATTTAAAACTTGAATCAAAACCTCCATCCAATTATAAAGAGAGATATCTAGAAACCTTATATATATATATTCTTGCTTTTTCTTATTTTTATTTATCAGTAATTTTAAGTTCATCAAATTAATTTTTAGATGACTTTTTAAATTCATCTAAAATAAATGCAGGTCTTTTTTCCTTTTCTAATTCTCTATCATTATCACTTTTTTTAAATAATGCTTTAAATCCATTAATAATTGGAATAACTAGAGTTTCTCTAATTTTTGGTGTGATTTAATGTTTCTATTAAACATAGAACATCCATTCTTCATCATATACAAGACTATCAGCCATTAATTATAAGAATCCTTTATATATAGGATCCATAGGCTTTAAATCAGATGCATAAATAGAATCTGCTGCATCTCTCATAATATTTAACCAATAATAATCTGAATATAATTATTTAACTGCAGCAATATAAGCTTCACCAGCATTTTTTTTTTCTTCTTCATCATTTTCTTCATTTTCTGATTCTTATAATTATTCCTCTAATTCTTATTATTCTTAATCAGCTTCTGGATTATTATCTTCAACTTTACATTTTGGATCATATAAAAATGTAAGTACAATATCAACAAAATTTTCTAAATATGGTGGATGATATTTTCTTCTCATCATTATAACAACATATTCCATTTCAATAGTCTATTTTGCAGCCTTTTTTCTTCTACTTCCTTATTAAGGTTCATCTAAATGTTTCATTATTACTTTAGCTCTTGTTTACCAACATTTCCATTCTGCTAAATCGTTATATAGATTTCTTCTTTTAAAATATGGTGCTGAATGAGTAATCCAATATTTTTCTTCTTCTCCCAATGCATTATGGATATAATATTCAGCATAATATTATATATCTTAATGATTATGCATATGCTCTAAAACTTCAAGTTCATGAGTATCAGAAACTTACAAAGTGAATTAAGATTTATTTTATCCGTTTCTATATAACCCTTTCTTTGTATTCTAATAAGAATTTAAAAAAAAAATATTGTAACCATTTAATACATGCATATTATACTTATACATTTCTTAATTTTCCATTAATTCAACCTAAGGTTTCTTTAACATTGTCACTTAATAATTGTAATCTCTAAACTTCCCTTTATAAGTTGGTAATTCTCTAACTTCCAAAAATTTATGCATATAATCAGTCTTCCACCCCTACTATATAAATTTAATTAAATCTCTTCTCTCTAAAGTATGAATATTCATTTTTAATGGTACATTTTTAGGTCTTTTTGCATTGAAATGAATTTAAAATAAGTATATATCCTAAGATGATACTATCAAACGATCAATACACTAAAAACTCACTTTTGCTTCCAATACATCGAATCCTTCTTTCAAAAAAAATATTGAAGTATTTCCCAAGATCATAAAATACCGATTCTCATTATGTTGAATCAATGTCATATATTCTACTCCCATCTCAAAGAGAACTGATAAAGCTGTCTTAGTTGTAAAACTTATCATATACTACTTTATTTATTTATTATTTCACTTATAAAAAACAAAACAATTGGATTTAATATAATTTTTTATCATGAACAATCCAATAACAATTATTTCACTTGTTGGAAGTGGTGCCACAGGCTTTGCCCTTTATTAATCTATACCCTTAATTATTTAATTAAAAAAGAAATACATTTAATACTAACTTATCAACGAATTTACACCTACATCTCTTTTAAATTATTTTCATTAAACTCAACAAAATACTATTGAAGCATTTGTTGCAGGAGAATTAATTTCAGCAAATCCAATAATTTCAAAAACCCCTCTCATTATAAGTGAAAAGAAAATTTATTATATTTATGAAAATGGCATGTATATTGATCTTTTTAATTCAATAGATAAAGCCTAATTAAAACCATCTATCAAGGAGTTTCTTAATTAAGTATTGCAGACTATTATAATAAGATTGAAGTTTAAAGAAATTCAACTCTTATTTACAGATATTCAATGAGTCATATTTGGGATTAAATTAAATCTTAATAATTAAGTATCATTTAAAGATTGATTAATTTTTGTTTAAAAACAATTAATCAAATCAAAATTTAAAAATTATTTTTTAAAGGTTTTCGAACTGGTATACTTGAAAGGGAATATGGTATTATTGCTAAAGAATTTTATGTACTCTATGGAGAAATCATACTTGATAAAAAATTAAATTAAATGTTTCTTTAAAATCCTAGATACATTTTAAAAAGTAAGAAATAGTTGTTATAGCTAATATAAAGAAAGATTAATTATGGTAGAATAACTATAGGAATTCTTTTAATTATTTTTGCATTTTGGACATATATCTTGGGATGTAATGTGAAAAATTTGATTTTTAAAATTTTGAAGGAGAAAGAAAAAGCAAGATTAGATAAATTAAGAGGTTAAAAATACTTAGAAATTAATAATTATGAATGCTAAATCTGTTATGAAAGACCTAGAAATATCATTATTAAACCTTGTAAACATCTTACAATTTGTCATGAATGCTTATAAAGACTTAAACAACCTAAATGTCCTATATGTAAATAATAAATCGAGGATTAAATTGAAATTTTTTTTACTTGATTATATTAATTTATAATGTTATAATTATTAATCAACATTCGTCAATATCTTAATCAATAGAATCATCAGATTATGCTTATGCTAGATTTTCCATAATCTCAATTATTCTAGTTTATTATAATCTTTCACATTCCTACTCATTTTTAACTAATAATGAACCTGTAAATCCAACAGCATTAAATGAAACTCCATTAAATGTGGCTTATTTTCTAGCAATTATCATCATAAATTCCTCAGTAATTATTAAATTATGTTTGAAATCTCTAATGTCATTAACTTTACATTTATTTAATAACTTTTCATATGTCTCATAAATTAACTTTTATTACAAAATCTCATCGCAATTTTTATTATCTAATAATTCTTGATTAAAAAGTAATATATAATGCTTAATATTTTTTAAATATCGTAGCTTTATAAATTTTCCTGTTTATTTAATGGTTCTTTCAGAGCACCATTCTTTTACATGATTTAATATATTTGCACTTTAATATGCTGATTTTGGTACAATTTAAATATGTTTATGATCTAAAGATGCACCTGCCTCAGGATGAGAATTAAAAAATGCAAAACCTTCTACTGCATTTAATACATCATAAGCTAAGCTTAAATAATCTTTGCTAAATTTCTCTGTTTAATGAATAAATTATTATGGCACTAATAATACATGATATGGATTCACAGGATATTTATTCAATAAGATATTATAATTTTAAAGTTTCATTACTAACTATCCTGGTTAATAAGGTTCAATTAAAGGATTTATCTTATTTTATAATCAAACTTACATTTTATTAATGACCAACAGGCTTTTTGGCTAAAGATTTTACTAACTTAATGTGGAATTCTATTCCTTGTTCATTTTTTGAAAAAGTCTGTAATATATCAAATGGTTCAACAAAACCTTAAACACCACTTACATTATAACTGTGTATTATTTGTTTCTTTATACTCTCACGAAATTCTGCTTTTGTAGACTATACACAGTTAATAATCTCTATACCTTTCTGAGAATTTTATAGATTCCCATACTGAATCCTAATGCAAAAATTCCTAATAACCCTTTTTTAAATGCTTCAGATTTCATAGAAAATTAATTTAATTCACAATATATATATGAATACAAAGACTTTCTATCATAATATGAAAAATAATAAACACTAATTTTAGAGCAAAAATATATTTTACAAACTAATCAAAAGATAGTAAATATATTTTTATATTTACATTTTTATTTATGTTTCATTTATTATCTGTATAATTATTTGTTAATTTAAGATTATCATCTTCTTTTTTTTTTGATTCTAATCTTCTTTGAGTACTTTTTCTTACAATATTTTCATCTAATAAATAATAAGAATTATTTTATCTTACAAATTCTTGATTTTGTTATCATCAATTCAATACAAAAACCAAAAATAAATGCATTTCTAAAATGTTTGAAATACATTTTTCTTGCTTTTTGTTAAACTGTTTACAATTTCTCTGCTGTGACTTCAAACGTATAAAACTTTCCTAATTTCTCTTAATCTTTTGATTATTTTGACATTTTTTCTTTTTTTTTTATATTTAGAAAAAAATAATTAAAAATTCTTAAAATAAAAAAAGCACATCATCATCCTTAATTTCATATAGTAGGTTGAATAGACAATTTAATCTTAAATGAGGATCAATTTTATATACATGACATATGTATTTTATAATGTTAATAATACTAAAACAAAATACAATGTTAATTATTGTAAATAGTAATGAATCACATATTAAAATTTTTTTAGATTGAAATTTCGAATAAGAAATGTATTTTTCAATTTAATTTTTTAGGAATAGAAAATGTTAATTTTTTGTATAAATAATAATAAGTAATAAGAGAAGAAGGTTAGTAGTTTATTATTTGTGTTCATTATTATGATAATTTTTGGATGATCTAAATTTGGTTTATAAAATATTGATTAATTAAATTTTGATAATAAAGACTATTATTAATTTTAATATGGATAAGTTCATAGAAAAGGGAAATGGAGTTAATGTAATAAAAATAGTTGTTTATGTAATATTATATAATGAGACATAATTAATACAATGACGCCTTCTCAATTTAATTCATCGCTTAATATATCTCATAATTTAGTTTGATTTAATTTAAAATTGATTTGTTTGTAAAATATGGATCCAAAAGGATAAATCTAGTAGTGCCATGAACTCATATCAGCCCATTCTTCTTGTGTTGAGGATTAGGAAATTCGTTCACCATAAGGTTCACACAGTAATAATGATTCAGACTCTTCTTTCAGTTTAGCAGAGCAAGAGAGGGAATGTAAGAAATTGTTAACATAATCATCAAATGAATAAGAGATGACAAAAAGAAGAAGAGGTATATAAATATTATTTAAGTTTTAAAAGCAGGTAAACATGGTCTTAAATATGCAAAAATTACAAATGATTAGAGAGAAGGTTTGATCAAATAAGTCACATCAACTGGATGTACAATAAAAAGTGCAGCATAATAACTAGGAATCAACTTCTCAACTGCTAAAGCAATTATGTAGATTTTCAAGAAAGAAGGAAGATCTTGTAAAAAAATCATTCGTAAGAACAAAAAAAGACAAACTTAATTGTGCAAAAGACCCTGCATAGTAACCAAAGACTAAAGTATTAAAATATTTTTATCCTAATCTAGCTAATCGACAAGAAAAACAATTAGTCTAATAAACAGACAAAATTCTTAAAGAAATGATACAATAACCTATTTCGGTCCTTGAAGACAAAAACTAATAACAACTTGTACTCATTCAATAACTGACAAAACAAGTATTATAAAGTTTTATTATTTTAGAATTTGTTATATTAAGGTTAAGTGTCCAATCTATTTCAAGACAACCTTATGCTAACCTAAAAGTACTAGTGTCTATGTTAGTAGTATTAGTAATTGTAGAATATGGTACAAAAATTATATATAAATTTAGATGTAATAAGTATTTATGTAAACTTAAAGTCCACTAGTTCCATTCAAAATTTGATTGATTATTTTTATTGTTCTCTATTCTAAGTAATATAAATATTTTATTTTTTTTCAAAGGAAATTCCTAAATCAATATTAGAAAGATTTTACTTCTTCTTTCAATTATAATAATTATAATAAAAAATTATATATAAAAAAAATTAAATAATAAATTGTTGGTCAAATAAAGTCTAAAAAAGATAATCAGAGAAAATTGAATAATAAAAACTTAATATAGATCACTATTTTTAATACAGTTCATACAAAAGGAATGACCACTTTTATTAAATAAAAAATAGATTGATAGAAAATGTTTATGTATTTACTTCAAATAGAAAATTTAAAAGTAAATTATAAATTATGTTAAGAATTATGTTATTTGTTGTTGTTTAAGACTATTTCTAATTTTGAAATTCAATAGCTATTACAAATAAAATTAATCTTCATTAAATAGTTAGTAAATCTTATAGAACAAATGATATTTAATGATGATTAATTTTATCTGCATCTTTGATCCATAAAAAAGGAGAGGTGATGGAATAGAAAAAATAATGACATTATTATACGATCTCCCCTAAGATCAAATTTATTGAAATCAATCAAAGATAAGTCATTCATTGTAATTATTTTAATTTTTTTGACTCTTTTTTTTTGTATATTTTTTTTTAGTTCCTTTATTCTTTTACTCTTTTCTTTTAAATATTTTTTTTTTAGTGTCTTTATTCTTCGACTCTTTTCTTTTTTATAATGTTTTTTTAGTGTCTTTATTCTACTCTATCCCTTTAGTTTCATCATTTTCAGTTTTATCTGAATTAAATTGATTTTATGCTTTTGTTATCTTATAATTAATCAATGAAGTTAAAGATTTAACTTTCTCTGAAAATATATTGATATGATCTTCTTAAAAGTTGAAAATAGCAAAAGCAAGAACAATCTAAGAATGTTTATATATTTCAAAATCTAATTAAAATGATATAACAAAATAATTTACCCATTAAAATAAACATAATAAGACTTGAGATACTTTCATTTAGAGAAACACCCATAGCTATCAAATAATCAGATGGAGTTATATGATTCAATTGAAATTCTAAACATTATAATAGCTGAACTTCCATCTCTTCATATTCTTAATCATCATATAATCTTTTGCCTAAATTGTTCAACAATTTCATTTAGCCAATTGCTTCTGTTTCATTAAACTAACAATCTACAAAATTAATTACTTTAGAAGCTATTGAATATGCAGAAATTCCAAGGAGCTCTAAATATTAAGGCCTAATATTAAAAAAGTTTAGATATGTATCAATATATATTACAGCCAATTCCAAAGTTTTGATGCTGTGCTTAAATTATTAAGATTACTGAAATATTATATTTTATTACCTCAATAACCCATTAAATGAGTATATCTCTTCTACAAACACCCTAAGAATTCCCTATATAAAAAGGTAGTTCAAAATTAAACTTTTTATCCTAAAACTAGCTAAGATTTATACTTTATCTCTAGTGGATAATTCTTTTAATTGTGCTTAATCAAACATGATTAATGATTTTATTATAATATACTTATTTATCGATTTTACAATATTTAATTGATTACAATAATCCATCAAATAAAATTATATTCTTACTTCAATACAATTGTATAATATATATCAAATGCCTAACTAATAAAAAATGTTTAAATTTTAAAAAAAAGTTTTCTCAATGAGTATAGGTTTTAAAAACGAATTTGAAAAGAGAAAAATTATAAATCTTCTCAGAAATGATTAATAATAGTAAACTTTAGAATACATGTTAGATTTAATTTCTAAAAATTAAAAATCAGCATAAATAATTATTTTAATTATCTAAAAAACATTAAAAAAATATAAAAAAATTCCCTACATATTATAGATCAAGAGAAATTATGAAATGTTTATAAATTTCAAATTACTGTAGATAAATTAGAGATAGTTTAGCAAAAAGAAAAATATTTGTATCAATTTTAGATTTTATATTGATTATTGATTCCTTAAGTTATTTTTTAAATAATTAATCATCAAGTTTTGTGGAAAATATTCAATTTTTGACTGTAAATGTCTCGAATCATCATCAATTTAAATAATATCTCTATATATAAAATATAGAAATTTTTTACTTATAAACGGGCATTAAACTCTTCAATAAACATTTTAGAAATATTAAATAATTAATTTTAATAACTTTTTATATTTATTATAAATTTAATTTCTCAATATAATGGCAGAGTAAGTCAGATTTTATTATCTTATTGAGCATAAAATGAAATTATCCATTAATTTAATCTAGAAAAAAAACTAATAAACAAACATAAATCATTTTCTCAATTTTAATATTTTCCCAGAAATGGTTAATAATTAAAAATTTTAAATTACCATCACGTTTAAAAATACATTTCAGAGTTTAGAAGAAATAAAAGTTTAAAGTTATAAAGCAAAACGAAATGATATTATTATATCTTATAAATTATGTTTCAATTACAACCTAAAAAAATAATATAACTAAAATAGTTTTGAATAATAAATGTATAAATGATAGAATTATCTATTCGCTCTTTCAAAAAAGCTCGGTAACCTTTATTTTTTTAAATATCTTCTTATAATTTTTTGCTCTTATAATATTTAAAACAAGTCGATTTAAATCATAATAAAAAAATAAAATATATTTTTCATCTAAGCATAATTCAATTTTAATTTCATCATGAAAAATTCCTATTACTTTTGTTTCATAAAATTATTTTTCAGAAAACTTAGATAATTATTTTAAGATTCAAAATTAGATGATACATGTTCTGAATATCTAAATTCTAATTATTTTTAATTTTTTTGATAATTTTAAGAAATTTTTTGATCTCCAGTTTTGTGCTTCTATAATGTACATGCTTCGAGTTATTGAATAAAATTTACTGTCTTTTGATTGAATTTAGAATAATAAAATAATGAAAAAACTATTAAATAAATTTATTTTATTTCAAATCTATATAATATGAGTAATGTGCTGTAATTGTGGAGTATAAAAAATTGAATTAACAATTTATTTAATAAATGAAACTTATCCTTTAGCTTTTAACTTTTGTAAAGAATTGTTATAAAAATAATCTTAACTCGTTTTCTAAGCTTCTTTAAATTTGGAGGACTAATATCTTTTTTATTAAGGTATTGTTAATATTAAAATATTAATTTCAGAAATCATAATTTCAAAGTTTTGAGATTATCTGTCTCATTAAGTTTTCATTTTGATTATATGATTATTTCTATGAACCTATGTAATTTGTTTAATTATCATTAATTAATTATTAAAAGGATGACTATTTTAAGTTTTCCATAGAAATGTTTGTTTTTGTAAAATATAAAAAAAAATTTTGTATATTAGATTTCAATAATGTTGAGTATAATAAAATTAATTAATATATAAGTCTATTAATAATTTTTAGGATTTGAATTTTCCTTTTTTTTGGAAATTCCTTTAAATTTTGGATTGGATTAATAAGATAAATCTTTGAGATTGTTTTATAATAATTGAATAATCTTGAAAATGAGAAATATAAGATTTGTTTAGGTAGAATCTTTAGGTTAATTGATTTAATTAATTTATTTTTATATTTGATTATGAAAATTGATAAAATTTAGATGAATATTTAATTTAATTAATGGATTTAAATTTACTAATCAATTATTATTGTTTATTTTCATTTTTCTTGTTTACCTTCAACAATCATTGTCATATTTCGATGAGGTCTTCTTGTACCATCTTTAGGAGAATTTTTATTAGAATTGGATCCTTCATTATTATTTTTAGAATCTTATCCAAATCTCATGGCATTAATGAGCATAGTAACTCTTCTAGGCATAGGTAAAAAAGAATGAGAATTTTTAAAGTTTAATTTTTCAATTTCATTTTTTCTTTCATTAGTTTTATCTATAGTTTTTCTTTTTTCTGGTAATTAACGAAAAGATACAATAATTTTAGAATTTCTAGTTTTATCATCATTAATTTTATCAGATTAGATTAATTAATGTGAAATATTAGAATCTAACTCTATAGTTAGAACATCACTTTTAACAAATCCATTATAATTGTATCCACCAAAAATGAAAATTTTAGTATCAATACAAGAAGAAGAATGTCCACATCTTCCAGGCATATTGGCACCTTTTAATTCTAATTGAATCCAAGAAGAATTCTTAACATCAAACAAATATAAATCATTTAAGAATCCTTCAATAGTATTATCATCATTTTTTCCACCATACATTACAATCGAACCCAAAACTTCATTATAATTCATAGAATGTTAACATCTAGCAACTTAAAATTAAAATATTGTTTATACTAGGACTAGTTCCTTTAAAATCAACTTATTCAATAAGAATAGGTTTTTAATATACGTCAATGCGAATAAATGTATCTAAATAATTTCCAAATTTATCTTGTCCTCCAAATACATAAATTCCTTAATTAGAAAATTTAAGATCAGGATCTTATCTATAAATCTCACAATACTTATTTTAAGTAACCAAACAAGATTTATGAAAAGCAATACCATTAGCATATAATTCATATGGTTCTATATTTAAAGGAATCCATTTAGATTATGGAATATCGTAACATAGTAAATCTTTCATATAATTACCTCTATTATCAATTCCACCAAATATTAACAAACATCTACCAACTATTTCCCCTATATGACATTTTCTTGGAGAAATAGTTCCTGGTTATTTTATTAATTTTATATCAAAAGATGCTTAAATAATATATAAAATTATATATTTACTTAATGATATAGTTTTTACATCACTTGTACATTCACTAACGATTTTATGATTTGATTATTCAACATGAATTTCTCCACCAAATAAAATCATATAATTTTTATATATTCCAGCAGTATGATGAACTCTATATCCATGAATAGATTTTTCATCTAATTTTTAAGGATTCCATTTATAAAATTCTATTTTAATATATTATATTATATTACATTTATCAACTATAGCTACACACAAATCTTCTTATTACACTGCACTTGAACCTCCATATAAATATAATTTACGATCAAAAGTAACCATAGTACTACCATCTCTTGAACAAGGACCCCAAAAATTATAATCAAAATTATATGCATATGCAAATTATTTTTTTATTTAATTTAATGCTACTTATGATTCAAGTATTCTTTTTTATAATTATTAAGCATCTGCATTCCTTTCTTATAATTATTAAACTCCTCCTAATCTTACCTATTTTCTCAGTAATTCTAATTTTTATTAATCCTAATATGCTAAAGAAGGATAAACTTTGATTCCATTTGTTTATGAATGAATCTTTTTTAATGCTTATTTAACTTAGTTTATTTAATCTTCTTCTTATTATTTGTATTACTTTCTCATTTTATGAAATGTCTCTCTATTATGAATTAATTGTAATTTTCTAGATGTATAAAATTATTATTAATCTACATCTTCCATTTCTATATTATCTAAGGATGATTCCCTAAATAGATATTTACTATAATTATTCCAAACCATTTTTGATTATTATAAGGATCGTTTAAGTTCTGAAACTGCCCCTTAATTTAGTTCTCTAAATGAAACAAAGTTTTGGACATCATTATCTGGTTAAATTTAAAGTAATTCACAATTCTCATTTAATGCCATTGGATAAAACTAATTTAATGGTAGAGGACTTAATTTATTATGAGTCTTCTTATATTTCTCAAATAGAGTTGTAATATCCATTCTTGTATTTGTATGATAAGAAAGTGAGTCTACTTTGGGACTGTATGTGTTCATTTATTATTATAATATTTAATATGTAAAAATCATGGGAAACCTTATGTAAGAATCTTAGAAGTCCTTTCTTATAACATTTCTTAGATATTTAAACACTTATTGATGAACTTAACTAATAAATTGATTAAACATAACTTTCTCATGAAATTGCAATTCAAATTTAAGAAATGATATCTCAAATAGGTCAAATGTAAGTTTATATCATTAAATTTTAGTATAGATGTTGAACATTAACATTTGCTTGATGGTTTTGAATAGACTGTCTTATTATTTGCATAAATCAATTCCGAAGACAAAGTAAAATAATATGAAACTTTGAATCTCATATAAGAATTATTCAATAAACTAGCTCTAACATATTTCTATAATGATGATGATGATTTTATTATTGAAAAGAAAGAGTAAATACCTATAAATGATGGAACTTCAACTTGTTCAGATTTCTCAGATGATAATTTTGATGTTGAAGATCTTGAAGCTTAAGTTGCATAAGAACTCTTTCAATAAATTAAAGGTTAATTGTTAAATCCTGATATTCAATAGAAATGTTATTAATTCTAATTTACTATATTTTAGGAGGAATTGAATATCATTGATTTTTTTAACGATTCACTTGAATTAAAAATTAAAGAATCTGATTTAATTATCTTTTTTAGTTATTCAGGATTGCTACAAAAATTAATGAATTATAAATAAGATAACTAATTAGAATTCTTTATAAGTTAATTATATATTATACTTAACAGAATTAAAAATGATGAAATTGATTAATTGATTGAAACCAATTGTTTTGAACTTAAATACAGTAGATTATCATAAAGGAAATTCTTGAGATGTAAAATATTGTCTAATTTATACACTAAACTTATTTATGAGAAATTGGATAATTGGAGAAATACTCAAAATATTTAAGAAATACAAGGTGAAAATTTAAAAGCTTTAAGAAGATTTGTTATTTAAAACAAAACGCCTTTAAGTAGATGGGAAGTTAGTATCTTATCTATTTAAGATGTTCAAATTAATAATCAAAATATTCTAGATAAATTTTAAAAATTAGTTATTGCACTTTCCCTTCCGTATGATTTACTATTAGAGAATTTCACTATATTAGATAAGTTATATGTCAACTTATAATAATTCTAAAATTGGTTTAAAATGAGTTCAATTCCATTTACAAATACTGAAATAGCTTAATTATTTAAATAAGTCAGTTATATCTACGGGTGTTATACTAATTAAGGTATAAAAGTTACATAAAGAATTGATTTCTATTAATTTTTAGAAATGGTTTATGCACTTAATTAAAATTAAAAGGTTACTAAAGATTAATCTGACTATAAAAATATTAAATATAATGATGAGATTACTTTATAACAATATAATAGACATTTACAATTAAAAGTCAATGATTTGTAATAATAATTAAACTAAAAAAATAATATTATTGATTAGTTATAAAAACCATAATAAGATTCATAATTAACATCAAGAACAAAATCTAAATCAAATGATGAAGTTTAAGACAAAGAGTCTGAAATTAAAATAGAACTTTTGCATTAGGCAGAAATAAATTCAATTAAAAATGAAAGTTAACGTTAACTAAAAGTAGTTGAACTTAAATGGAAAAATAAGACAAAAGATTTATTATTTGATTTAGAAAATAAAGATAAATAAATAGATCAATATAGAATATAATTGGAAGCCTTAATGAAAGAACTTGAATGGGTAAAAACTGAAAGAAGAACCAAATGAATCTAATTTCACTTCAATATATTTTATTTAAGAATCTAATGAACTTTATAAAAATCTATTCGAAATTTTAATAAATAGAATCTAATGTTCTCTCTTATTCATCAATTAGTGTAGATAATTATATTTCTAAGAAATTAATCTTTTTTTTTTTCATTCTATTGACAATGTCTTACATAAAGATGGTTTTAATCTCAAATTAATCATATATAAAGTTGTATACATCTTATTTAATGAAAACAAAGTTTTATTTTTAAAATTCAATTAAAAATTAAATAGTCAAATTTTTATGCATTATCATTTATATTATTCAACAACACTAATAAATAAATATGAGAACTTCCAATTGAAATTAAAATATAATATCAATATGAATTTTATTATATACAATCACTGTTAATCCCAGTTCTTAAATATTAACTAAATTTTTTGGCATTTTAACTTTAATACATTTATTACTCATAGTGGAATTATACTTAGTTTTTTAAATTTTCTATATATTCTTCTAGAAAATCAAACTTATCTAATTGTTCCAATATCTCAAAAGGTAAATCCCATTTTACATTTGCCTAACCATAATCATTAATCCATTAAATCAGATTGTCTATTTTTGTTTTTGTATTTTATATTGCTATTCCCCATTTCTTTTAATACTCAACAAAATCTTTCTTTCTATTCTAATATAAATCTTTCAATTCTTTTATTTCCTTCTTTATCATTTTTAGGTTGTCTAACATAACTTAAAAATGGTTGAAATGTCCATTATTATTTTATTACATATGTATTAATAATTATAAATATTTTATTCATTCTGTGTCATCATCCAATTTTTCTAATTCCACTAAAAGCCTTTGTAATTTATCTCTATGATTTTATAATTTCTCAGTACAAGAATCTTAATATTTCTTTATTTTCTATCTTTTTTTTTCAATCTTTTCTCCATTCTTTATCAAACTTTATTTAGTTTAATTCCATTTCTTATAATTTTATAAATGCTGATTCTTTCTTTCTTCATATATTTAATGAAAAATTTCATGAATTTCTTTTTATATAGTTTTCAATTAAGTTTGGAATCCCTTCTTATCCTATTATTATTTTGAAAACTAAATATACATCAATATATAATAATTAATCTTCTTTTTCTTTGATCCTATCAAATAAGTTAGATTCATTTAATGCTAATTCAAACACTGGAAGAGGATCTGTTTTATATTACTCCAATCTTAATTATTCTTGAACTAATATTTCTAGTTCCTGTTATTTTTACTCTAAATTTTAGGTAAACTCTTATTCCATTTTAGACAATATCAATTATTCATTTTCAATAGCCTTTATATATTTTTATTTCCACTTACATGTTATTTCTTCTATTTTTGTTCTAAAAATTTTTTTTATTTCATTTCCTATTTTTTCTTCTCTTTTTCCGAATTCTTTTATTATTCTTCATCAACTCTTGCATTCATTTCAATTATTACTTATTGAAAATCATTCTTAATAATCAAATTAGTTATTATTACAATCGCATATAAATCACTTGTGTTTGATACTTAAATTGTATCGCCTTCTTCATCTTAATAAGACAATTCTATATCAGTTATAGTTTAATATATTTGTAATATCTCTTGGATAAGATTTTCATATGTAGTAATACCATAATATTTAGAAATATTGCCCTAATATTAGATTTAAATATCCATCTATTTTTATTATGTGTTTAATTTCTTTGATAAACTTTAATATAAAAATCATTAGAGAATAATTTGATTATAAAATTTATAATTAACAAATATTATTTAAATCAGCAAATTATATTTATAATGTTGAAAATATATTATTGTAGATAATTTTTTAGTGCCACACTTTTGTTTTAAAGTTGCATCCTTGCTTTGTTTGGCTTTAATAAACTTCAGTCCTTTTTAATTTATAATATAGAATAACTTACTATTAATTCTTATTTACAGAATTAAAATGGTTTAATTTCAGCTAGCTAACATTATATTTTAATTTAAGATAAAAAAGTTAAATTTATAATAACATTACATATTTCAAAAGACTTTATTTGATTTACAATTTTAAATAGATAGGAATTATCATTAAATTTATTTTATTCAAATTTTCAGTATTTTGGTCGTTTATATAATTAATATATTAGGCAAGAACTTTAAAATATTCCTGTTTCAGTGGTTAATGATAAAGAAATCCATTTATTTTGGTAGAATAAATCAGGTAAATTTTACTTTTGAAAGGGATGATGATTATTGAGGCTTTTGATATTGAATCGTAAGAACAATTTGAAGACATCAAATACTCTAAAACAATAATTAAACAATCAGAATCTTTAGAATATAGTAAATCCATTTTATAATTTGATAATATATTAAAATTGTGAATTGCAAGATGGATTTTTGTTATTGTTATTTAAAAAAAAAAAAACCTTTGGTCTATTAGATTGTTAATCATTTTATAAAAAAAGATATAGAAATTTTTAATTATATATTTTTCATCTTAATATCTAATTGGAAAATTCTAATCTTAGTGTTTAGATAAAACATTTTGAAAAAAAACGATTTAAAAATCATCATAATTATAAAGATCTATTCTATTCAAAAAATCATTAATATTATATTAATTCTAAGTGAATATGAGCAACTATTTCTTAATTGGCAATTCAGATTGATTAAAATATTAATGATATTATAAATTATTTTATGCAACGACAATTTGTTTTACAATCAAACAATAAATAGTTTCACAAAAATTCAAGATCTAATTTATGCTATTTCAAATGTGATGGTGGTTTCTTTTTTGTAAATTTTTAACAATAACAATTAACTAATTCTTAAAATTTGACTTCCTTATTTTAATTGTTTTTTGATAATTTGATTTATAGTTTATTAGTATATTGCTGTTTATCTTTATATTAAAATTAATCTTCAAAAGCATAAACAATTTCTTTGTCTGTTTCAAGCTTATATTTTACTTAAATTGGTTCATTTTTTTAAGGTTATTTTAACTAATTCCCAAATTATAAAGATCTTGTTCTTTAAGTTCTATTTGATTTATTAGAAATTGATTGTAAATAGAATTTAGGATCCATATTAATATTAAGATCTTAATCATTATTAAAAATGCTTGGTAAGAATATTTTGTTGTAAGTATTTTCTAAACTAAAATTTCTTCTCTTTGTTGACATTTTTATATAAATTATAATATATATCACAAATTACAACTAAATAATGATTAAATATTTTTTAGAAAGTGATACAAGTATTCTACAATTCCAATTTCATTTATTTTGAAAAAGATCAAATTTGTATTCTGATTACACTAACTTATAAGTGCATCAGCTTTATTAAATTATTCTGCACAATAATCTCTCATATCATATTAATCTATTAAATTAAATTTATTAAAATACCTAACGAATCATATATGAAAGTCATATCATAATAATTTTATTATATAATTGTAATCCAACCAACTTAGATTGCAAAGTTGATTGATGTGGCATAATACTTTAAACTTTTATAAATACGTGCCATAAGATTCCAAAATTTAGCTTATATAACACAATTTGATTAGGATAATTCTTATAAATTGATATTATTTAATTTATCTTAAGCTTCCTAAATCTCATTTTATTATATATTTCTTTCTATTAAGCTAAGCTTATATTCTAAATATTATTGGTTCAAATGGAATTGTTTACAAAGCTTAATAATTTCTAAATCATTCTCTCCTTCCTTTAATAATTTCTTCACTCTAAGCTTAGGATCTCATGATATGAAAATCATACTTTTAATAAGTACCATTTCCAAACATTCAGAAATGTATGGATCTGGATTCATTTACAATAATTAAACCATTATCTGTTTTATGTACTTAACAGACATAGGTTCATTAATAATATAAAAGTACTCCAAACATATATTTAAAATGACTAGGATGGATTGTTCACTTAAATTATATGTTGTTTCAAAACATTATTAGAATTATGATAATGTGTATAATGGTTGATGTAAAGCAATATTACTCAAAGCTTCTAATTGAAGTGATAGAGTTTAATCATTTTAATCAAATTGTTACAATTAATCTAGTGCATTTTGAATCATGGTTGAATTGCCATAGTTATTAGCACATACCAATTAATATGCAGTAATAGATTATTCAATATCTGGAGTATGAGATTGTAAAATTTATTTTAAACTTTAATGTATAATATCCTTCCAATTGATGTGTTTCTTTTTCAATAATGAATAATTAATTTATTTATATCTGATTTATGATCCATAAATTAAAGCACTCTATAGTTTATGTTATGGACTCAATTATTAAGCATGATTTACAGCATATTCTAATAAAAGGGTAGCCTATTAATATTGAGTTAATTTTACTTATTTTTAATAATTATTACGATAAGCAATTTCAAAGAGATTAAGTAAGCAAAGATTGATACTTTGTTCATCTGATACTGTCTAAGATAATCTCAGACCTTCTGATAAACTATTTAATGCTTCATCATAGAAGTTCATTTTCAAGTTGAGAAATATTGAATTCATGATGCAATGATTTACTTTTTTAGGAACAAGTGCATTTAATGTCATATCATAGTATTTACGAGAAAATTTTGTTGCTCTAAATGGATATCTTAGTAAGGCATATAAAAGTGCTTTAAGAAAATTTACTTTACAATTCTCATTCAAATTTGGTTATTCTATTATTTATTTTAATTCTTCTAAATTTACATAACTTGAACTTGNAAAGCTTAATAATTTCTAAATCATTCTCTCCTTCCTTTAATAATTTCTTCACTCTAAGCTTAGGATCTCATGATATGAAAATCATACTTTTAATAAGTACCATTTCCAAACATTCAGAAATGTATGGATCTGGATTCATTTACAATAATTAAACCATTATCTGTTTTATGTACTTAACAGACATAGGTTCATTAATAATATAAAAGTACTCCAAACATATATTTAAAATGACTAGGATGGATTGTTCACTTAAATTATATGTTGTTTCAAAACATTATTAGAATTATGATAATGTGTATAATGGTTGATGTAAAGCAATATTACTCAAAGCTTCTAATTGAAGTGATAGAGTTTAATCATTTTAATCAAATTGTTACAATTAATCTAGTGCATTTTGAATCATGGTTGAATTGCCATAGTTATTAGCACATACCAATTAATATGCAGTAATAGATTATTCAATATCTGGAGTATGAGATTGTAAAATTTATTTTAAACTTTAATGTATAATATCCTTCCAATTGATGTGTTTCTTTTTCAATAATGAATAATTAATTTATTTATATCTGATTTATGATCCATAAATTAAAGCACTCTATAGTTTATGTTATGGACTCAATTATTAAGCATGATTTACAGCATATTCTAATAAAAGGGTAGCCTATTAATATTGAGTTAATTTTACTTATTTTTAATAATTATTACGATAAGCAATTTCAAAGAGATTAAGTAAGCAAAGATTGATACTTTGTTCATCTGATACTGTCTAAGATAATCTCAGACCTTCTGATAAACTATTTAATGCTTCATCATAGAAGTTCATTTTCAAGTTGAGAAATATTGAATTCATGATGCAATGATTTACTTTTTTAGGAACAAGTGCATTTAATGTCATATCATAGTATTTACGAGAAAATTTTGTTGCTCTAAATGGATATCTTAGTAAGGCATATAAAAGTGCTTTAAGAAAATTTACTTTACAATTCTCATTCAAATTTGGTTATTCTATTATTTATTTTAATTCTTCTAAATTTACATAACTTGAACTTGCTATGAAGTGGATTAATAATATTACTTTATAGTTTAGTAAGTAAGAATTCAATGTATGAATCTGTTAAGAATGGATTATTTTATAAATGATTGTCTGAACCTTCTTTGAAATCTCTCCAAGATTTTAACAGTTGATTGAAATCCATTTAATTAAAAAGTAGTAGCATATTTCTAAAAAATAAATCAACAACACTTCCTTCTGGAGTTTTTTATTATTATTTTTCACGAAGTGCTGCATTAAAAATTTAATTATTACTTTCTCCTATTATTTTATGAAACTTATTCATAGAATTAATTTATAACAGTTCAGGGTCAACTTGACTTAGAATTGTAATTTATAGTTTTGGATTATTAACCATTTCCATAACATCATGAATCTTATTAAATATAAACTTAATGCTACTTTTAAATACTCAGTTAAGAGATCATAAATTGAATGACTAGGTTTACGTAATAGTAGTATCAATATAATGAGGTTGTTGTTCATTAATATTTTCAAATTTAAAATATTTAATCTAACTAATAATATATATGAAGGTATATTATTTTGTTAGTAATAAAAAGAATTTATATATATTTTATGATTGTCATATTGACTTATATGTCATAGAAATTGTAATTAATATATTATTTATATATATATCTAATGAGTTTATATTTATTATATTATAATAAATGGGAGGAAAAGAATCAAAATTAGAGAAAAATAATGATTAAGAAAAAATAAATTAGATGTATACTTAAGCAATTGAGAAGGAGAAGGGGAAGGAAGAAGTTTAAAATTCTTAGTTAAAACCAATTGAAAAGGTTTCTAATCCATTTCCAGAAATACCGAATTATATGGATTTATTAAATTAAGTGTTACCTGAGAATAAATATCCAAAGGTACCAAATTATTTAACACATGAATTAATAACAGATTTATAAATGTTGAAGCATATATTAACAACAGCATCGACTTGTTAATAGAAACCAAGTAAATTAAATATGGATCAACCTCTAAATTCTTCAAAATTAATAGAAGTAAATTAACATTAGAATAAATTATAATAATTTTAGTCTTCATTACTTTTTGAGGTTCAAAAAGGATAGTTATCATAAGTGATAGGGAATGATTAAGAAGAGTTAATGAAGATTAAATAAAGTTAGGTAATAGAGAGTTTGAAATTGATAACTAAATATGCATATTTTTGTTAAGGTTTATTGGAGAGAATATCTGAGACATCAAAAGAGTTTTTAGTTTCACTCAATAATCTTATTTTGAGTACAAATATGAATTCTATCTTGTTTTAATATATAGGATATTATGATGAGGAGAATAAAATGATTAGAGAAAATACATAATCATTATTTAAATAATTTTAAGAGTCTTAATAATTTCATTAAGTGATAATGAAGTATTTAGATATAGTAAAAGAGTAATTAAAGAATGTAGTACCTATATTATAGGATATTAATGATTGTTCAAATATATTTTAATTTGAGGAGGAAGAAGAAGAATCATTTATTTAAATTTATTAGAAAATTTAATCTGAACCATAAAAATAGGAATTTTCAATATAATAATTAATTGATCAAAAGTATTTATTTAAATTTTATGATAGAAAATTTTAATAAAAGGGGATTGAAAAAGGTGAGTAAATATTAGAAGATTAGAAATATGAGAATTTTGTATAAACAAAATTAGATGATAGTGAAGGTTCAAAATAGTTTACTATATTATTAAGATAATTCATAGAGATATTGGAAAAGAAAATATAGAATTGGGAAAGTTCTTTAAGAGAAATACTTATAGGAACATCTGAGAAAGATAAAATAAGATTACTTTTATGTGAATTTAACAAATTGTAAATACAATCTTCATTGAATTTGGTTCATTTTTGTATTAATGAATTGCAAAATAAGATGGTTTAAGATGATTCAGTTGCTCAGTTATAGAAAGTTATTCAAAGAATAGATAAAATATGATATAAATTAAATATATATAATGAATGCTCCATAACCAGATAGGATGATTGAGAAATTTGTACAGTTTTTTATCTTAACTCTTCATAGAATAAATAGATGGAAGTATTTGTAAAGCATGAAGAGTTGCTTATGAAATAGAGACAAGCATATGAGTAAAAACTTAATAATGTCTTTGATCGAAATTTGCAACTGGAAGAAAAAGATAGAAGTATGCATGAATAAGTACTTATTCATTCAAATAGATATTATCATCAAGATATCAAAATGAATAATTGAAAATTTAATAAGAGAAGTTAAAGCAATTATAAGAATCATAGAAATAAAAGAAAGATAAAAAACAAGCAGCAAATCAATTATGGTAATTAGAATAGAAAGAGCATGAAAAAGATATTCAATAAAAGTTATTTGAAATACAATAAAAGATTAAATATGAAGAATTTAAAAGAAAAACAGATGAATTAATGAATTAATTAGACAATAATTTAAGAACACTTAATATGCGCTATTTAGAAAAATAAGAGAAAAAAGAAAAATATTTGAATGATTTCATTAATTAGAAATAATAGACTTTAAATTCTTCTATGCAAATTACTCAATCACATCATTAAAACGTATATTCTAATTATTAATAATAAATGAAAAGAATTTAAGAAGTAAAAACTTTGTTAAATTTAGATTTGTTAAATGAAACTTAAAAAATATGAAAATAAGATTAAATAAATCAATTAATAAAAATTATCATAGATTGATCAAATTACTTAGAAAGCTCAACAAAGTTTTGAACATTAAGAAAGCATTAAAAATCGATCTTATTAGATTTATTAAAATAAATTAACAAAATTACAAAATAAGATGAATTACTTTTAAGACAAAATCAATTTAATTGAAAAGAAAAGATTACAATAGTTATAAATGAATTATCTATAGGAATAGGAAATAAATCAAAAAAGAAATGAAGCTCGTGCTAAATCAGAGAATATTTATAGAAATAAATCTATTAATATTTTAAACAAATAATTAGAAAAAGAAAAAACATTTTAATTAGTGTAATAAAATAACTAATTAGAATTATAATTGAAATTGTAAAGATTAAATCAAAAATGGTAAAGTTAATAAAACTAAGTTTATAAGGCTGATTAATTGAAACAATCTTATTTTTCATCTTTAGAATAGAAAATAACTTAAAGAGATTAACGCTTATAAGATTAAATGTATTATATTAATCTTATAATAGTTAAAATAAATTGGAAATCTAAAAGAGAAGATTAAAAGTTATAGAAGATATGGAAAGACAAAAAAGAGATCTCTTATTTAAATTGGAATAAGACAAAGTTCCAATTACAAATACTTCTGAAATGAAATATTTGTATAGCACTCCAAAATAATAGTAATCTAAATTGTTTATTACATGATGATAAATCTACATATATAAATAAATGAGAAAAATTATATATAGATTTTCAAGGCCTACTTATCTTGATTTTTAAGCAACAACTCCTACAGATTATAGAGTTTTGGATGCTATGTTACCCTATCTAACAAATCAATTTGGAAATCCTCACAGTAAAACACATTCATATGGATGGGAAACTGAAAAGGCAGTGGAAAAAGCACGAGCTTAAGTAAGATTTATAATTTATTGAATAGATAGCTAGTTTAATTAATACTTAACCTTAAAGTATCATTTTTACTTCAGGTGCCACAGAAAGTAACAATGCTGCATTAAAGGGTTTATATGGATTTTATGGAAAATAGAAGAATCATATAATTACCACATAAACTGAGCATAAATGTGTTTTAGATACTTGTAGATATTTAGAGGATAAAGGAGTAGAAGTAACATATTTACCAGTTGATTGTAATGGTTTGATTTCATTGAAATAATTATAAGAATCAATAAAATCAAATACATTATGTGTAAGTGTAATGCTTGTAAATAATGAAATTGGAGTAATTTAAAACTTAAAAGAAATAAGCAAAATATGTCATGAACATGGAGTGTATGTTCATTCTGATATGGCATAGGGAATTGCAAAAATACCAGTTGATGTTTAAGATTTAGATATAGATTTAGGTAGTATTTCAGGTCATAAAATTTATGGACCAAAAGGGATAGGAGCATTATATGTTAGAAGAAAACCTAGAGTTAGATTATAATAAATAATTCATGGAGGAGGTTAAGAAAGAGGTTTAAGAAGTGGTACTTTGGCACCTCATTTATGTGTGGGATTTGGTAAGGCTGCTGAGATTGCATAGAATGAATTATCATATGATATATAGCATATTGATAAATTATACAATAAACTTATAANCTTTAGAATAGAAAATAACTTAAAGAGATTAACGCTTATAAGATTAAATGTATTATATTAATCTTATAATAGTTAAAATAAATTGGAAATCTAAAAGAGAAGATTAAAAGTTATAGAAGATATGGAAAGACAAAAAAGAGATCTCTTATTTAAATTGGAATAAGACAAAGTTCCAATTACAAATACTTCTGAAATGAAATATTTGTATAGCACTCCAAAATAATAGTAATCTAAATTGTTTATTACATGATGATAAATCTACATATATAAATAAATGAGAAAAATTATATATAGATTTTCAAGGCCTACTTATCTTGATTTTTAAGCAACAACTCCTACAGATTATAGAGTTTTGGATGCTATGTTACCCTATCTAACAAATCAATTTGGAAATCCTCACAGTAAAACACATTCATATGGATGGGAAACTGAAAAGGCAGTGGAAAAAGCACGAGCTTAAGTAAGATTTATAATTTATTGAATAGATAGCTAGTTTAATTAATACTTAACCTTAAAGTATCATTTTTACTTCAGGTGCCACAGAAAGTAACAATGCTGCATTAAAGGGTTTATATGGATTTTATGGAAAATAGAAGAATCATATAATTACCACATAAACTGAGCATAAATGTGTTTTAGATACTTGTAGATATTTAGAGGATAAAGGAGTAGAAGTAACATATTTACCAGTTGATTGTAATGGTTTGATTTCATTGAAATAATTATAAGAATCAATAAAATCAAATACATTATGTGTAAGTGTAATGCTTGTAAATAATGAAATTGGAGTAATTTAAAACTTAAAAGAAATAAGCAAAATATGTCATGAACATGGAGTGTATGTTCATTCTGATATGGCATAGGGAATTGCAAAAATACCAGTTGATGTTTAAGATTTAGATATAGATTTAGGTAGTATTTCAGGTCATAAAATTTATGGACCAAAAGGGATAGGAGCATTATATGTTAGAAGAAAACCTAGAGTTAGATTATAATAAATAATTCATGGAGGAGGTTAAGAAAGAGGTTTAAGAAGTGGTACTTTGGCACCTCATTTATGTGTGGGATTTGGTAAGGCTGCTGAGATTGCATAGAATGAATTATCATATGATATATAGCATATTGATAAATTATACAATAAACTTATAATAGGAATAAAAGAAAAGATTCCTTAAATATAAATAAATGGATCATTAGAACATCGTTACAAAGGAAATTTAAATGTTTCATTTGCATTTGTTGAAGGTGAATCTTTAATAATGGCAATCAAATAAGTAGCTGTGTCATCTGGATCTGCTTGTACATCTGCTTCTTTGGAACCTTCGTATGTTTTAAGAGCATTAGGAGTTTAAGAAGATATGGCTCATACTAGTTTAAGAATTGGTATTGGGTATTTTAATTATTATATATATATATATTTATAGACGATTTACTACGGAAAAAGAAATTGATTTTTTAATTTATTAATTGAGTTAAGCTGTTAAAAAATTGAGGGAAATGTCTCCTTTATGGGAAATGCATTAAGATGGAATTGATATTAATAAAATTGAATGGACTTAACCACATTGAATATATTAATTAATATAAATGTTTAAAGATGTTCCTACCATTTAATGGCTTTATGAAAAAAGAAACTAATTTTCAGTTGAAATTCGTCGCCAAAGAAATTAAACCATTCTTTAATAAAAAAGAGCAATTTTAGTGCATAACAAGGTTTAGAAGTTGGAGTAATTTCAAGGACCTTGAATTGCTTGCTTAATTTTCATTAGAGTGTTATAATCGTAGAGAATTCCAACAAAGTAAAGATTACCTAAAAAAATTAATTCATTATGCCGATTCTGAGTTATGTGAAAATTTGAAATCTTTGAATACAATCAATTTTCTTAAAGATATTTCATAGTCTTGTGATGAAGAACAATTTATTATGATTTTACAAATATTCTAAAAAATTTGTTTACCTGAATGTTTATGTCCTTAATTGTTGAATCAAATATTGGAATTTTAAAGTAATGATATAGTTTAATTATTTATTACACTATTATCAAGGATTGTTTAAATGAATGAATTAGATTCACTTATAGAATAATATCATATTATTTAATATTTATTGGATATAAGTCTTGAATTACAAGAATTTGAAGAATGGTATTTCATTATCAAATAATTATGTAAATATCATTTGTAACCATCACTTTATGTAATATTATATATTCATTATAAATAGTTTAAAAATCTTGTATTTCCTTGTTTTAAGTTATTATAATATGATAAAAATCTAGTTATTCTATTAGTTATAGAATGTATGTGTAATTGTAAAACTAATAGGAAAGGTGCTATCAATTATTTACTTATCATTCCAGGATTTATTGATTTATTAATAAACAACATACCTAAATCAATCAATATTATTAGTCATATCATTGAAGAATCTGAGGATGGTACATCTTAATTAATTCAAAATAATTTACTTTCAAAATTTAATAAATTATTTGAAGAAGATCAATCTTTTAAAACTACATTTATATATCTTACAATCTTGATATGCTTTTATAGAACTGATAATATTATCCATAAACTTATTGACTCATAACTTTTTTTAAATATTCTTTCTTTGGATGAACAAAATTTAGGATAAGATGATTTAAAATTAATTAGTCAAATGCTAGTCTTTTTAATTGAAAGATACTCTAATGAATTGTTTTATTTATATCTAATTTAGAAAACCTCATTTATAAAGATGTTGGGATAATTATTAAATAAATTTGAATTATAAGAAGTTTATAATAATGCTATTAATTCAATCATACAAATTGCTTACTCATAATCTTATGAATTTACAAAACTATTTAGATAAGTACCTTATTTAATATAATATAATTAGAGTATTATAGCTAAGCCTGTTGAGCAAATATTGTGGAAAAATAAATTTTATGATGAAAAAATTAGTGATAAAATATAAGATTTTTTAAATATAATATATAAATGAGAAATCATCATTATTTTAAGGATAAATTATATATTATTTATAGTGAACATAAATTGAAAATGGAAACAAGAAGGAGAATAAAGCAATACCATTTTAAGATTACCATTTGATATTCAATCTGAAATTAGATCCTAATGTTTTTATAAATTAAAATGATAGTGAGAAAGAAAAAATGGAAATGGCATAAGAATAAAATATTCATAGGAAAGGATGACCAAAAAGATTTTCATTTCTCAAAATAGTTTCAATTATTTATCAAATAAAAGTATTAGAAATTCTTATTTAATATTCTACACATAAAAAAATAATTAAAATAATAATAATTTGATAATTGTTTATACTAAAAGAAGTATTTATATGTATTCATTTCATTTCATCTTACATAACATTTCCAATGTGATTTATATATTACTTAACGTTATTTCAATTCTTTTTAGCGAATCATTTTATAATGATTTGATCTGATCACATCATCTCTCTAAAAACTTGAATAATGTTGATTTTTTTTCTAATAATTATTTTGATAACATCTTTGTCAAATATATACCTTTTTATTAATCTATAAGTCTGCCTTTATAATAGTCCATTAATTTTAAAACTAAATTAATTTACTAAATCATCTTTTGAGATTTTGATTTTAACTATTAATCTTTTTAATTCAATTTTGTTAAATAATATTAATTTTTTTTTTCATGAATTTAGATGATATCTATAATTGGTAAATTCTTTTAACATAAATATAATTAGGATTCTTAGTCATCAGAATAATTATCCTGGAAAACACTAAGAATCATAACCAAGAACTGTTCCATCATACAAACCATTAGAACCGAAAGCATAAGTAATTTCTAATCTTTAGTTCTTCTAGTTTCATATTGTTATTAAGGTTACTGCTGAATATACAGATAATCAATTTTTAATTATTTTTTTATTTTATTTAAAAATTAGCATTTTAATACAAGTATTTTATGTTAAATTTGATATAACAACATCAAAGAGAAAATGTTTAATGGAAATGTAAAAATAATTTAATACTCTTAAAAGGGTGTTAATCTAAAAGAATTTGGAGCATTTACAATGGAAGTTATCTCAGATTACGTTAAACCATTATAACATTCTGGTTTTAAAATGACTGAAGATTTAAATATCTAAAGAGCAGATCGTAAACATATTCATACAATTAGGTATTTTTGTTATATAATTTAGTCCATGCTTTATTCCTGATAATTAATTTAAATATTTCTTATAGAGATATCCTGGAAAAGAAGAAGTAACTAAACCTTAGAGTTACATTCAATTTATTAAAAGGGATTTGGAATGAATTTTTGTAATACAGGACCAATTGCTGCATAATGGTAATAATTATCAGCTTTGATTATACTAGTTATTTAGGTAAAGATGTTGTTTAATCAATTCATTACTTTTTGATTAAAGCTATTTAAGATTTAACTAGACTTGGACATGATTTACATATTGATTTCGGTTTTATTAAAATCAGTGTGTTAAACAAATATCTAAAATATAAATATGAATAATCATTTATTAATAAATTGAATTAAACTGATTACGAATTAAAAGTAATTAACTCACTAATTGTTTGTAGATGCGTAAGTCAGACATGGCTACATCTCAACATTGGAGAACTACTTAAGAAGAAAAATGGTCTAAAAGTACTCTAAATCATTTACTCACCAGACCAAATCCAAATTAAGTTTAAGATAATTATGAAAAGTCTATGGCTCTTAAAATTATGTCATTAGATCTCAATACTGCTGAATAAACTAATTATAATCAAAATTAAAAAGTCAAATTACCAACATTAAATAAATGAATTAAAAATATAATCAAAACATTTCATATTTAAATATTGTTCTCAATACAAGCCATATATAAATGATGAGAAAATTATTAAAGTTCTTATTTTTATTTTGATACTACAATAAATTTAATAAATGATACTTTAATCCAAATTCTTCATATATTTATTCAATTCTTTCTCATAAATCTGATTTCTTTATTCTTATCTAAATAAATTTCTCTTAAGTTCATCCTTAGTAGGACTTTAATATAGTCTCTATCTTTTTTTTATCAAAGATTCTTATTTATTTGATTTTTCTGAATTCATTTTCCATACACTATATTTGTTTTAATCATTTATTACTTCTCTTTTTTATCATCATTCTAAATTTCACTTAACTTTTCTTATAAATCAAAAATTGATTTATGTAATACAAAATTTGCCCTTTCCAATTCAGTATATTCTTATTCTTTTTTATCTAAAAAATTACGTAAAATCATATTCTATTTTGTTTATTCAATTAATTAAGTTTAAAGTGTAGCTAATTATATTTTTTATAATATATTACTTAAAAGAGTCAATGTTTCCAAATATTAATTAGTTTTTTAAAGACTTTTTTATAACCAAGTTTTTGTTTCTTTTTAATTTTCATTCTAAATATCCTATTCTTTATTTGATTAGAATTTTAATTTCTTTGCAGGTGTAAATTCTTTATTTTTTTTTATTCCTGATACTAGATCTTTGACATCTTAAATTTCATATGAAAATTTATTCTTCATTTCTTCAACCTATTATTTCAGAGAAATATTTTCTTATTCCAAAACTTTAATTTATTAATCAGCTTCACAACTATCTGTTTAAGTTATACATTCAACCATTAGTTTTGGATTTAAGACTCCTTTAGTTTCAACAATATTTCTAAAATAATTCAAATAATTAGAATTTTCATTTGATGTAGAAATTAATTCTTAATTACATCTTTGCAATTAATTAATTTAATCTTAGAGACGTTATTTTTCAAAATTTAATTCAGTAATAGTTTTTAATTATTCCTCTATTAATATATTCTTTTCGATAACTAATTCTTTAATTTACTTAATTGTATTTTATTCTTCCAAACTTTAATTTTTATAAAATTCTAATTATGTTTATGTTTCTTATAATTAAGTTGAATAGTTTTCAATCTATTCAATCATTTCATTATATGCTTCATTTTAAAAATTGTTAGATTCTTAAATTTCATTAACATTGACAGTATTTTTTAATGCACCTGCAGACATTCCAAATCTCATAGTATTAATAGATTCTAAATAATTTTCATTATTTTAACTAATAGTTAACAGCATAACAGTTAAAGAATTACCATTTAAACTTGGTTTTAGTATTTTAGTTAATTTAGAATCTCTAAAATTGACATATTAATCTTTTTTATTTTCTTTTAATTTAGATACAACATTTTAAAGTGCTAATAAACTTTTATTAATTAAGAATCCTTCTTTTCTTCTTAAACCTTCAGCCTAAGTCTTAGATAATCCTTCAGATCCTGCTAAATCAACCAAATGAAGATGAGAGTTACGAATTATAAAAGGAGGAGATTTCTATCTTGTTTCAATACTAATTTATAATACTACATGAGATCTAGAAGAATTATCATTCATTTTAGTTTCTCCAAAATGTCTTTATTCTTCACCTAATTTACTTAAAAAAATAAATTAATTTTAAATACAAAATTTCTTCAAACTAATTTAAAGAATTAATTGTTTCCCATTTAAATTCATTAGATGTGTTAGGTTTCATTTCTTATAGATCTTTAATTAAGAGATCATAAATATTTTCATTATAAATTTCTATGTATGAAATCTTCAAATTACAATATATATCAGTTATCTAAATAATTATTATAAATTTAAACTTGATTTATCGATTAGAGCAGATAATCAATTGATAATTATATAAGTCCTGGTTCTCTATTACTACCTTTCATAGTGTATGTTTTTCCTGAACTTGTTTATCCATAAGCACAAATAGAGCCATTATATCCTTAAAGACATTTTTACACAATTGGTTAAACCATTTTGGTGAAAATATCCTTTGAAGATGCTGATTCATCAAATACCTATAATTCATTGAATATTTTTATACATTATCAAAAGAAAAGCGCTCATTTGATTTTTTCACTATGACTGATTTTTCATTGATAATATTACATATTTTATCATTTGTCTCTGTAGGTCTTAATCTCAATCCTACTAATACATTTTCAATATGTGTTTCATTAAATTTAGACTTTGTTTGTAATTCTAAAATTTTAGTGTTGCTCATTTTAAATTTAAATTATATAAACACACATAAATTTTCAAAATAATTAACTTTACCATTAATTAAAAAAATAAATATGAGCAGTTCAGAAATACAATCAGATTCTGAAGATTTAATCTAAGAAAATAAAGATTTTGATTTCTATGCTGATCTCTTAAATCCTTCTGAAAGATTAAAAAAAAGAGTATAAGAATCGACTATTAATTTAACAAAAAAATAATGTAAATCATAAAAATTGAATGAAAAGTCATAAAAGAAATAAAAATAATTAGTATAGAAAATAAAAAATGAAGATTAACATGAAAATATTTAATTATAATATGATCCTAAAATATTTGCAATAAATAGTGACTTTTAATAATTGAAATTAAATAAAGCATTAGTAAAAGTTTGTCATTAATAAGGATATAAATATCCAACTTAAATTTAAGCATAAGTAATTCCTTTAATTTTAGCAGGTAAAGATGTATTAGCAAATTCATGTACAGGATCAGGAAAGACTGCAGCATTTTTATTACCATTAATGGAAAGATTTGGAAATACTAAAAGTCAAAGATATTCTAAAGCTTTAATTGTATTACCCACTAGAGAATTAGCTTTATAATGTTTTGAAATGTTTTAGATGCTAAATTAATTCTCTAATTGTACAGCTGCTCTTGTTATAGGAGCTGTTCCTATATAATAACAAGAAGCAGAATTAAGAAGATATCCTGATATTATTATTGCTACTCCAGGAAGAATTGTTGATATATTAAAAAATTCATTTAGTATAGATTTATCTAGGTATTATATATTTATCAATATTAAAGTATTGAAGTATTAGTCTTAGATGAAGCTGATCGATTAATGGAAATGGGATTTGAAGCAGAAATCAAAGAAATTCTATAATAAACACCTAGAGATAGATAAACTGTATTGATTAGTGCCACTCTTAAGGCAACTGTTTAATAACTTTCTTTATTGGCTTTACATAAACCAGTTAAAGTTAGTGTAGATTTTGTTGGAGGATTAGCATATGGTTTAAAATAATATATACTAAGAATTTATTCTGATGATGAAAAAGATAGAGAGGCTACGTATTATACTATTTAAATTTATTAGTCTTCTTGCTTTATTGTAAAATTAATTTACTGATAAAACTATTATATTTGTTAGAACTAAACATGATTGTCATAGATTATCTATCATTTTAGGTTTAAAACATTTAAGTTCTTGTGAATTACATGGAAATTTAACTCAACAACAAAGAATTTAAGCTTATGAAGATTTTAAAGTACTTTTATTATATAAATATTAGGAAGCTAAATATAAATTTTTATTAGCTACTGATCTTGCAGCTAGAGGATTAGATATTGCTAATGTAAAAGCTGTAATTAATTATGAAATACCTTATGAAACTTCTAGATATATTCATAGAATTGGCAGAACTGCTAGAATTGGAAATTAAGGTGTCTCTGTAACTATTTGTTTACAAAAAGAAGTTTCTAAATTTAAATAAATGATTAAAGAGTCTAAATAAAAACTATATTAATTCAAATTTAATCTAGACTCAATTAATATTATCAAATCTGAAATTTAATAATTAGAACCAAAATTAAAAAAATTATTAAAGATGAAGTTTTTGAAAAAGAAATATAAAAAACAGAAATTCTAGCATAAAGAGCTTAAAATCTCATTTAACATAGAACAGAAATTATGAGAAAACCTAAAAAAGAATGGGTTTAATCCAATTCATAAAAGAAACTAAGAAATTTAATCTAAAAGGATGATGATTGATTTTTTTTATCTTGTTTATATTTCAGTTAGATCAATAATATATTTTATATATAAAGTTTAGTTAGATATTTCATTGATTTTGTGAATCACTACTGTAATAACTTACATTTAAGTTGTCTTTTACTTAATCATTAAGTCTACAATTCTCTTACATTAATGCTGAATTACTTTTTGTTAATCGATCAATCTATTCTTCTTGTTATTTAACTAAATTTATTTCAAAGAAATACTTAATTTTTACTATTCAAATATTTCAGCTCTATCTTATTCTAATTCTTTTTGTAATTAAATTATGAACTCCTCTTTATTTTATGTAACTAAACTACCTTGTCCTTTTAATTAATCTTACAACATTTATATCTATTCTTCAAGTTTCTTGGTTTTTCTATTACTCTAATTTACTTAACTATCTTTTATAGATATTTATTAAGTTTTTTTTTAAATCTCATTTTCAATACTTTGTATCTTACTTAAATATTCTTGTATTTATTATTCATATTTTTGGTTTAATTCTTTGAGTAAAAGAATTTCATCTTATTATTATTATATAAGTTAGAGGAATTCTCCCTCTTTTTACACTTTTTAGGAATCTGAGTTTTGAATTTTAATCCTTTGCAGATCTTTTATAATATCATCTTACTCTTAAATCTATAAATTCAATAACTAATTTTATTCTTGTAATTCATCTAACTGCTTTTACAAATCTACAACTTTTGTTATTTATAATCTTATTTCATTATTCAATCTTTAGTTTGATTATTCTAAACCTTATTTCATCAAAAGCTCTTCTTCTAATCTATCAATTTATTATTAATACTCATTTCTAATAGATTGATTTTATTAAGACAATATACGAGTTTTTTCATCCTATTAATTCATTTTATCAATTTTATTATTTAATTCTTTTATTTAATGATGATTTGAATTAGAAATTAATTAAATTTACTCTTCATATTCTTCTTTTTATTTTTAAATAACTTACTTTAATTAAACTATTTCTTATTTTAAATTATTATTTTCTTAAACACTTTCCTGTAGAGTCTGTTCAAATTATTAATATTATGATTATCTTTTCCTATCACTTTCATATAAATCTTAAGATTAATAATGATGTTATAAAATTAAGTCATTTTCTGTATTATATTTTGAATTAAAACTTTTATTTATGAGATATGTTTCTGAACTTCTGTCTAAAGAAAAAGATTTTTCCTATAATTCTTTTAAATCATCATTTAATTTATTAATTTAATATAATAATCCATTATTTTATTAAGTTAATATTTTGATTTATTCTTGATATCTCTCTAATTATTGATTTTTTTAATTTATTGTTTATTCTTATTATGTTATTTTATCATTTAACCCTTAATCAAAAGGTTTGCTTAATGAATTATTCTTTGATCTAGTAGGTGATTTTTCTCTACTTATACTTAAAATTTATTATTCCATTAAAGCAAATTATTCCTTTAAATCTTCTAATTATTGATTTAATTAATCTTTCTCTAAACATTCTTAATCTAATTATGAGTTCAAATAAGGAATAATTTCATTTTAATATTTAACATTTTAAGAATTTAATTATTCTATTTAGTTGTTCAATATATTTATTTATTGATCTCTTTTCTAAATTTAATCTTCAAAAGTCTTAGCTTTGAAAATTAATTATTATATTTCATTTTCTTTATTTGAAATTTATACTGTTAATTCACCAAACTTCTTTTTTTAGCTTGTATTTTTTTATTATTCATTATCAAGTTCTTTACTCAAATACTAATTGTCCTATTAAAACTATTTTAGTTATTGATCTTTTTATTTTAGTAATAATTATAATTCTTATTTTTATTATTCGCTGGAATGAAATTTAATTTCAAACTCATCTTTTTTCTTCTCTAATATTTCAAAATTATATTTTAAATTCTCAATAAGCTTTTGATATTATTCACATTAAATACTTAATTTGGCTTTTTCTTATTCTATTGATTATAATTTTCTTAAAGATTCATTTAATTCTTTTTCTTTACCTATCTATTAGAGATTAGATAAATCTATAATTTTAGCATTTAATTGTTAATTTTCTCTTTACAATTTATCAAATTCCAACTACAATTAGATTTTCGATTTTGTAATTATTTTATTACTTTCAATTTAATCATCCAAATCTAATTACAAATCATCCATTTATTTTTGTTATTTTTAAATAATATCAGATAACTCAGAGTTTTCTAAAATCAATTCTTCTTTAGTTTCTTTGATTTAAATTAATTCATTTTCTATAACTGATAATTTTTCATTTTATTTTGATACTTGTTCTTTTCTCATTTTTTCCACTTATTATTAACTTTATATAAATTCTCTTTTATAAAATTCTGCATCTTCTATTGTGGCTTATAATTTGGTCTTGATTAATTAAATTTCTTTCTAATAATAAACAATTTCATCTTCTAATTAAATCGTTTTAGAATTTTCTTGTTGTTTAATTGTTTATTATTATTCATATAATAATTATTGTTAAGATTATTCAAGATTTTAAATCTAAATTCTTAAAGTTTATATTTCATTTTACAATTCTTAATTTTCATTTTCTCTAGCATCAATATGAGATTTAGAAAAAGAATGAGATAAGCTAGCCATTTTTAATTCTTATAATTCAAAATTCAAATTATTTAATTATAAAGCAAGTCCTTTATTTTATTGAATTAATTATTCAACTTAATTTGATTTCATAAAAAGATCTTCATCTTGCTATTAATTTACTAAATCTTTTTTTCTAATTTCTTCAGTTATTCTATTAATTTATAAATCTTTTTCTTTTAGTTATTCGATTAATTTATTTATTTATGCTTCGAGCCTAGATTTGATCGAATTATGCACTTCATTAATATTTTTATTTTCTAATCCTAATTTAGTAATAACTTATTATAACTCTTCCATATTATTTTGACTATTGGTTTAGATAACTTTTAATTAATGAGTTTTATCTGCTAATTGATTTTTCAATTATGTAATTTCACTTTCTTAACTTTAATACAATTTCTTTTCAGTTTAATTCACAATTACTTACTCAGAAAGTTATTTAGATAAAGCATTTTCTCTTATTAATTTATTGTTTTCAAATTAAAGATCAGATAACTATGTTTGCTATCTTCTAATTTCAGTATCATATTGTAATTATATTTTTTGTATTTATTAATTCAATTATCTATTTTCATTTTCTAATTTTAAAATTTCCTATTATTTTTAAGAAAGTTAATCATCAAATTTACTATCATCAATCTTATATCTACTTTCATTTATAGACATATTTTAAATTTATTAATTTAATTTATCAATTTCATTTTATAAAGACATTAATTATCTTGAATGTTATTCTTTATTAGATATCAATTATTAATTTAAAATTTCTTTTTCATTTTATAGTTATTTAATTTACTCTTAAAATTAGTTTAATTCTTCTAATTTCTATTATTCTTATCTAATATCCAACTTTAATTATTAATTTTCATTTAAAAGTAATTCTTTCTGATTTTCTAATAATTTATATTCTTTTGCTTCATAGACTTTTGATCCTAAAACACTTTCACTAATGGAAAGATTGCTTTGATTTAAATCTTTAAATGCATTTTGTTGTGTTTATAACCTTACTATTTCTTCAGTTAAATTTTTATTTTATGATTATAATTATTGAATTTAAATGTTAAATTGTCTTTCTGCACTTTAAGGAAACAATTTAAGTGTACGATTTTCTTCTTGTAATTACATCTATTTTTACTTTAATTCAAAGATGGAATTTTCTAATTATTTAATTTTACCATTTAAATATTCTTTATCTTATAATAATGCAGAATAATCATCTCTTAATTATATATTTTCTCTCATTAAATTATCCTTGGTTTTTTAATAATCATCTATTTAAGTTTTAAGAAGTTTAAGTTCATTAGTATCTTAATTATTATACTCAATATCTCTAATCTAATTTTTATATTTTGTAATTTCTATTTCTTATAATTTGATTTTCTCTAATTATTAAGCATCTCTTTACAAGTGAAATTCTAATTTAGATTAAATTTCTTCATTCTTTCTTTTTAAAACATTCAATTATTGTTCTAATTCTTTATATTGATCACTATTAAATATCTTAGAACTATTAATATTTTCACAAATAGATCTAGATATATTTATATCAGCTAAATTTTTTATTTGTTCTGCCAAATGTGTATTTTCTTCTACTAATCTTTTATTTTATTTAATTAATTAATCACATTATTTTTTCATCTGATTAGCATCCTATAATTCAGTTGTTAATTTTTCTATTTTCTTTTTCATCTTTTAAATTTCTAAATTGTGTATTTATTACATTCTTTCAATTTGTTATTCTAATTAAATATTTACAGCATTTTCTTAAATCTATGAATCTTTCATTGATGCATGTAAAATTGATGAATAATCAAATTTCTCTCTTAATTATCTTATTTCTTCAAATAATTTTAGGTTTTCTTCTAAATAGCGTTTATTTGCTTCAGTTAATTTTTGAATTTACAAATCTTTATCAGGTTATTATTTTTACGGTTTTGGTTATTTTTTCTTAGATAATTCATCCTCTAAAATTGTTATTTTTTTTTATAGATATTAATTCTCTTACTCTAATTATTCAATTTTAGTTTTCATAACAGGATCTTCCATCATTGACATAGACATGCTTATCCTGCTCATATTTTTCATCATTTCTAATTCTAATTATAATTCTTTTATTTTATTTGTTGATGTAGCTATTTCTTACATTAACTTTTAATTAACCTATAATAACTTATCTTTTTCTTGATCATTATTTTAACTTGTTCTTGAAGATTAACCAAACTTTTAATATTTATTAAGTTCTTCTTATAATTTTAATTTTTCATTATTGCATTCTTAAAGCATCTCTTAATATTATTTAACTTTCATTTCATCTAAAAATTAAGATTATGATAATGATTTTTCTTATTTATCATTCTTTTCATTCAATGCCATAGTCAATCGACTATTTTAATTCATTAAATCATTTTCTCTTTATTTTAATGAGTATACTTCATTTTTCAATGATTATATTAATCTATCCATACTATCTAATTAGTCTTTTGAAGCAACATTAGATCTACTATTAATTTCTATCAACAAAAATATAAAATATATTACCTAAATCTTTATTCTCTTTATATAATTTATCAATTTATAGTCGAAATTTTTGATTTTCATTTTATAATTAAACAATTTCTTATTTAAGTTGGTTTATTTAAATTTGATTATTTGTTCTCAAGTCTTAACTGGTAGCCATCATAATATTAGATTAAATTGGTTCAAATTTTTTAATTGGCATTGCTGATCTCTCATTTACTAATTATATTAATTGAGCATTAAGTAATTATTAAAAATTTACTTACTTTTAATTTAACTTGCCTATGTTATAAGCTATAAATTTCAAATGTACTCTCTTTAATGATTACATTGAAATGAAAAATGCACAGAATGCATCTAATATTGATTTATTCTATACCTTTATCATCTTTATTCTTAAATTTCATTATTTAATTGTTGAATTAGACTTGAAGTTAATTTTAATTAGGAAGAATACATTAATCTGCATATTAAATTTTTTACTGGGTTGTACTATTTTCTAAAAACTCTAAGGAAAATATCCAATTCTATTCATTACAATTAATTTATTATCTATCATAATTAACTCTAATGTTACTTCATATTATTGTGATATAATTAAGAGAGTTTATTTTCTAATGAGGTTGAAATTTGAATTTTTTGGAATTCTACAATAGCCTAGCCTTCATAACCTGATTCAAAAGGTTGTACTATAGCCTCAATCTTATAGCCAACATCAAATATGCTGCAAGGATAAATATTGCCTTGAGTCTCAATTTTTATCCGTTCACTATCTAATTTTTTAAACCATTAAAATTTGCATCCTAAAGGTATTTAATTGATTTTTGAAGAGAAAGCATTGATAGTAATGTTAGTTGTTTCATTTAACTATTATGCTTAGATTTCTAGATGATAGTTAAAGTTCCCCTTAATTTAATAATTCATATTAAATAAATGTTAGTTTAAGACGATTCAGATTTTTTCATTAAGCCAAATGCTTATCTCAAACTGTTAAAGTAAGGAAAACCTCAAAGTAGAGAGATGAATAGAAGGAAACCATAAAATTAATTAGGGAGCAAAAAAGAATTAAAGTTATTACACTTGTCAAAACCTATGTTCTTAATTAGTCTTCCTGAGGAATAGAAGAGTAATAGAAATTTGAGGAGTTGTCGAAGTTGGAATACTTAATCTAGAACTCCTGATTCCAGAAAGATTCTAGTAACATCACCGAAGGAGTCTCGTTTGGGTTATAAGATGAAAAATAATCAAGATTTGGAAGTACCATATGAAGTGCATAGTTAAATGCCTACATCTTAAATTAATCCAAAATATATAATATAGTAGAAATAAGGTTGTGGATTGAGTAGACTTCCTAATTTTAAATTATAAATAATCAATCAATTTGCAAATCTAAGATAATAAATGATAATGAAATAATAATGATTATATATAATTAGCATCAATTTTTGGATTGTTACTCTTCTTTTTGTGCTTCAGCAGCTTCAAGTGGATTATCATAAGCCCATTCATCAAAATCTTCTATTTCTTGATCTGTAAATTTAGTATTCTAAAAATAAGTATAAATTGTAGATTACTTTAATTTTATTAAGTTCACTTTCACTTAAGATACCATCTTTTTTAGCATCTCTTAATTTTTATAAAATCATTTTATTTTTTTTTACATGCTTATATTCATTTTCAGCAAGTTGTGCTAGTTCTTGATTTTTTGCTTTGTAGAATCTATACATGACTTTGATCTAATATAATAATGATAATATAGGATATACATTTTCACAATTTTTAAGGAGAGGATCTTCATTAATTTCAGGTTCAAAGTAGAAATAGATAGGTAATTATAATTCTTCTTTTGGATTGAGTAATTGTTGATTAAAGCAAAAACATTGAATTTTAGCAAAATAAAGACCAGCATCTTCAGGAAATATTTAGTAAGTAGCAAAACCTTAAATAATTATAATATATAATATATACCTACAACAGCATTATCATTTCTATTATAGGCTCTATAAAAAACCAGGGCAGTTTCCCCAGCATGAACAGTAACATTTTATTGAACAGGAAGGAATTCCCAATTAGCTTCTGGATCTGTTTCTGCTCCAAATTCAACATGGTATTTTCTAAAGACATCCACTAGTAATGAATGTAGCAATTACATTTTTTGCCTTTCATTGAATAATCTTTTTTATCAAGATCTCCTTCAAGTCCAAAATGCTCACACCATAATCTGTAAAATGGTACAGCACCAAAAGCACATCCAAATGCAGCACCATATAAACCAATATTATATAGTAATTCTTATCTTCTTTTCTTTTTAAAAGATGATAAATTATGTTAAATGTTAGATCTACTTGAATGTTTGAATGAGTAAAACAATTTAGATAGTTTGAACATTATAATTATTGTAATTAAAATTGTTAGATATCCATAAATATTAATAATTAAATTAATCAATTTTAACCAATAATAAATCTTATCATTTTTTAATTTATTAACTAACTACACTCTTTATTTTTATTATTCGTTATTATCTTATCTATTTCTTAATCAATATACACTCATTAACTTTATATTATTATCCAAAACATAAATTACATCAATAAAGAAATCTAAGTTTTATATAATATATATTTTTTATATACAATATCTTTCTATCTGATACTTCATATCTGATAATAAAATCAATCCAATTTAATAATTTTTAGAATTTATAGTCATCATTGTTTTTAATATTATTTCGAAATTCCAAATTTATATTTTATATTATTTTATATATCATATCTAATTCTTTTGATTGTTTTAATTAATTATGATCCTTCTAAATTTAGTAAACTCAAATAGAATTTAATCTTCCCTAATTAATTTCAATAGAATATAAATTTTTAATTGTTTTAATATTTAATAATAATTTATTTACTCAATATTAAAATTTCTTTCTAATGAATATTACGTAACAGCAAATCATTCATTATATAGAATCTCTCTAATGTCCAGAGCACCTTCAACCTATCAAATACATTAATTTGTCCTCAAATATTTAATTAAACTAAAGACTTATATGTTCAAATTGTGCTAAAAATGGTTTAGCTGGCTACCTTGAAATTGAAGCTGCTGTTATTTAAATGAATTAAGAAAAACTATCAAATTCAGTTAAAATAATGTTTCAATAACTTTTTAGTTCAGTTAACACAATCAGAAACAAATTTGATGCATATGCCAATCCTAAAATATATTTTCATAATCTCACATAGAATATGGAAGGACTCACTTAATTTTAAAATGAAGCTAATAGTTATTATATTAATAATATTCAAAATCTTAACTAATAATAGATACTTCTATAATCTAAAAGTTAAATAACTAATTCTATTTAGATTTTTGAAAGCTTCTAGCGTAAAATATCATCTCTTTCAGTTAAACATATTCCATAATAACCTATATTATAAGAAGTTTGTAATTTGAAATTTGATGAATCAATTTTATTAGAAACTAATTTAGAAGATACTGAATTCTATATTGCTAAACACGGATAACTATTAATATACTCTTAAGATTAAAATAATTTATAACTATAATAAACTGTTTAATTAAAAGCAATAGATATTAATTGTGTTGTTAAAGCTCATATTAAATCACTCATCTTTTTAGGACTTAAAAATGGATAAGTTGAAATTTTTGAATAATTAACTAATAGAAATTATGTTTCTTCTCATTTATTACATGCACATGATTACAATCCATCTAAAAGCCATTTTGGAGTCTCATGCATTATAGTCAATTAAGAAGATTCTGAAATTATTACTGGAGGATACGACTTTCTTATCAAAATCTGGATATTCTAAAACTACTAATGGTCTAATAAACAGATATTAACTCAACATAAAAGTCATATTAACTCTTTATCCTATAATTTAGATTTTACTTTATTTGGATCTGCTAGTTAAGATTAAAAATTTGCATTTTATAAATCTACTTCAGAAAATACCTATTTAAATACCTTTTTATAATAAGCTTAACAAAAAGTTAATACTATTTGTTTTGTTAGTTCCACTGACTTTTTTATTTCTTTTAATTAAGAAAGATTTATCTTATTATATAGAATTATCAATCTTTTAAATCCAAATTTTAAAATTCAACATCTGTAAAAGATAGAATTTAACATGTTAAACACAGATATTTAGATTAAAGTTTAACCTATCTATTATAAATCCTTAAATTTATTGATTTACCAAAACAGTGCGGAAACCTATTTCCTCAATAAAAATAATTAAACATAATAATTTGAAATCTTTTCTATTTATCCCTAAAATTAAGATTTTACTTTTTTAAAAGGAGATGCAGTAAGATTGTATCATTTTGGTTAATTTGCCATTCAAACTTTGAAAAAAAACGATCAATCAATTGTTTAAATTGTTCGGATTTGAATTTATTACAGAATAATTATAGAATTTATTTATTTTAGATCATATACAATCTCAAAATAAGAATAATATGTTCAATCTTTTAAGTGCTTCTTAAATAATATTTTCTAATTACTTAAATTGTATTTTGATCCTTATTTGATGTTTCTATTTCTGCTTATTATAATTTGTTCTATTTTTTTAAAAACATAGCTTCACCTTTAAAGAACTAAGTTTTTTAAAAAATATTCAGAAATATTAGATTCAAATATTATTATTTGATTTTTATTCTACATATTATTATTAAAGTTTGATATATCAATTTCTTTAATTTCAAATTCTGAAGACTTATTTTAGAAATAGTAAATCAAAAATTTATGCAGGATCATTTTTATCTTTGAGTTTAATTTCCACACTTAATTTATTGTAAAGTAAAATGATATGTCAAATGATATGGTTGTAACGATTTTTTTCTATTATCATTATCATAAGTTGAATGATGATATAAAAGACTCTGTAATATGTAAAAATTTAGAATATGTTCTCAGATTATATGAAATAATCATTTTTAATACTAAAATTACACAAAATTTTGGAAATAAAGTGTGAATACTTTATACTATTAGGTTCTATCATAAATGGTAGATTATTATGGAAAATGCTGGATAGCAGGGGATTTCAAGTATAACGGTATTCATACTTAAAATAAAATTAAAATTATTTATGACAATATATTTAATCTAAGTAAGTTTTGATGATAATATTATTTATTTAAATAATGTTATCTTGAAAGA